CAAACGACAGCGACGACGACCGACGACCGTCCTAAGACGACAACGACGCCGACGGCGACGACCGACGAGGACAGCCGACGAAAGACGACGACCGACGACCAACGACGACGACCACCGACGACGACGGCCGCGACGCCGACGACGATGACGACGGCAACCGACGACGATGACGGCAACGACAGGAGACAAACGAGGAGGACCGACGGTGACAGACGAGAGATCGACGCCGACGGACGACATCGACGTCGCCGACGACGACGACCGACGACGACCGACGACCACCGACGACGACCGCCGACCGACACACGACGACCGACGACCGACGAGAACGACCGACGACCGACGACGACGACCGACCAGGACGGCCAGGACGTCGGCTGCAATCGACGACGCTGGCCACGACGATGACAGCGACGACGAGTGAGTGACGGTGAGGACCGACGAGAGACCGACGACGACGACAGCCGACGATCGACGAGAAACTGACGACCGACCGACGACGACGGCGCCGACCGACGACGACGACTGACGACCAACCGACGACGACAAGGACGCCGTCCACGACTACCGACGACGACCGACGGCCGACGACGACGACTGACGACCGACAACCGACGACGACGAAAGCGCCGAACGATGACGACGACCGACGACAGACCGACGGCGACGACGACGCCGACGACGACCGACGACAAGCGACGACGACCGACGAGAGACCGACGACGACCGACGACAAGAACCGATGACCGACGACGACGTCCACCGACCACCGTCGACGGCCACGACGCCGACGACGATGACGACGCGCACATGACGATGACAGCGACGACGAGAGACCGACGACCAACGACCGACGACGACCGACGAGAGACTGACGACAACCGACGACGAAGACGACGGACGACCGACGATGACGCCGAGTGACGACGACGATCAACGACCGACCGACAACGACGACCGACTACCGACGACCGACCGACGACCGACCGACCGCGACGACGACGCCGACAACGACAACTACGACCGACGACAAAACAACCGACGACGACAAACGACCGACAACGTCGACCGCCGACCGACGACGACGACCGACGACCGAGCGACGGTGACATTGCCGACGACGACGACTGACGACCACCGACGAGGACCGAACACGACCGACGACGACGCCGACCGACGACGCCGACAACGACAACTACGACCGACGACAAAACAACCGACGACGACAAACGACCGACGACGTCGACCGCCGACCGACGTCGACGACCGACGACCGAGCGACGGCGACATTGCCGACGACGACGACGACTGACGACCACCGACGAGGACCGAACAAGCCCGACGACGATGCCCGACGACGACGACCGACGACGACGCCCGACGACGACGACGACGACGACGACGACGACGACGACGACGACGACGGCCGATGATCGACGACGACGACGACCGGCGATGTTGCCCCGATGCCGACGACGATGACGATGCCAACCACGACGATGACAGCGACGATGAGAGACCCACGACGAGGACCGAAGACGACCGACGAGAGACCGACGACCGACGAGAGACCGACGACCGACCGACGACGGTGACGCCGACCGACGACGACGACCGAGGAACGACCGACAACGACGACGCCACCGACGCCGACCGACGACGACCGACGACCGACGACTACGACCGACGACCGACGACCGACGAGGACGATCGACGACGAGAGACCGACCGAAGACGGCCGCCACGACGCCGACGACGATGACGATGCCGACCGCGACGATGACGGCGACGACGAGAGACCGTTGACGAGGACCGACGACGACCAACGACCACCAACGAGAGACCGACGACCAACCGACGACGACGGCGCCGACCGACGACGACGACCGACGACCGACGACCGACCGGCAACGACGCCGATCGACGACGCCGACGACGACGCCCGACGACGACGCCCGACGACGACGACCGACGACGACCGACGACGACGACGACGACGAGGACCACGACGACCGACGACGACGGCCACGACGCCGACGACGACCGACTACGATGACGACGACGGCGACGACGAGCAGAGTCGTCGAAGTCGTAGACTCACGAGCGGCGGGCATATCCGTATCCGCGCCGTCGCGGTCTGGATTCTTGGGCGCTGTCCCAGGGATATGCGGTCACACGGATACTTTACGCGACCGCGAAAGCGACTACGAGGGGAGGTCAGTCTCGCCGCCCTCGTCCTCAGCCAGGCACAGGCTCCCTGAGGCTTCTTTGCACGTTTGGAACTTTTTCGTCTGCGCAGGTGGTTTTCCGTCTAGCCTCGCCAGCACAAAAACATGTGTTCGGCCCACGAGCATCGTCGAGGACTTTGGTCGTGGGGGGAGCTGGTCCGGGGGAGAAGCACGGGGGCCGGGGCCCGTTGCAATCGAGAGCTGTTTCCGTCATGCCAAGGCCCCCGCTCGTCATGATCGGTGTCATCGTCGTCGACCTCATCGCCGCCGAGATTGTCGGCGTCGTCGAAATCGTCGCCGCCCCCGCGAGCGGCGATCCGCGCCATCCGCTCGTTGTCGGTCGCCGTCGATCGCCGATTTGGACGGCCTTGGCGATCACTTCGTGGGCATCTTGGGGCGCCCTCGTCGACATGGTCGATCTTTCGTCGAGCTCGATGGTCGATCGTCGATCGATCGAGGATCCAATCTAGAAAAAATCGCGTGGGGAATTGTTCGATCGATTTCGACTTTTTGCGGACCCACTCCTCGCCCTGGGACCGTGGAAAATCGATCCAGGGTGGAAAGCTTGCCAGGATTGGCCCCGGGAGGATCTGGGGATTGGTTCTGGAGAGGGGCGGAGGTGGAGGAGAATCGAGTTCAAATCTGCCGACCCCCGCTTGCCAGGGGTGAGAAGGCGTGTGAAATGATTGGCTTTCCCAAATCCCGTTTAGGGAGGGGTATCCGGGCTCGTCGGCGCACCCCCAGAGACTCTGGAACTTCCAAATCTGCCTTCCGTGGCCCAGACGTTCCAAGACGGTCCCGAACCGCGGAGCGATTGGCCCAAGATGCCTACGATGGCTCCAAGACGCCCTGAGACGCCCAAAGAACCTTCCCAAGAGGATCTCGAAAGGCAAACATCAATGCTGCCCGGTTGGTTTTTCATTGTTTCTGTGGTTTTCGTCTTCTCGAACTTCCGACGCTCATGTCCCAGAGGCCCCGTAGACCGCAACGAAACTGCCCAAGAGGCCCCTACGAGGGCCCCAGGACGGCCCAAGGGAGTTCCAAGACGGCTCAAACAGGGGCCCAAGACGGCCAAATATTGCCCCAAGATGACCCCAAGAGAGGCGAAGAGGGGGAACACGATTCGGAAATCCGATCTTTCCACAAGGCCCCGAGAAACCCCCAAGCGGCCCAACAAAGGCGCCCAATAAGCCCCAAGAGGCCCAAAAGAGGCCCCAAGGCGGCCACCAACACGCTTGAAAACTGCATACAAGAGGCTCCGCCAGGCCCCCAAACAGCTCCCAAGACGCGCACAAGAAGCCCACGACAACCGTGGAATCCACGCCTCTTCTGGGGGTCTGCGGAATGGCGTGAGCCTATTGCATAACCCGTGGTTGTTGACATCCTTCGGTCTCCAGGGGCGCTCTCGTGGCCACGGCTGGATCCGACTTCAAATTCTGGCCAGGACACTCCAGGAGAGGTCTGGGGCCGATTTGTTCAGAGGATCAACGTCGTCGTCGTCTCGCATGTTTGTGGGGATTCTGGAAGCCCTCGTCGCCACGGCTGGGCGCAACTCGAAAGCTTGGCCAGGATGGACCCCAGGAGGGGTCCAGGAACGGGGTGTGACCTGATTCGGGCCCAGCTCCCCGAAGACCTGAGGTCGAAGATCGAGGACTTGAACATCTTTGGCCCCCTGCGGGCCCGTAGAGCTCTCTGGAGGCTCCCGGGGACCTCCATCCGAGACCTGCCGGAGATTTCCAAAGTGCCCTGGACGATGTCGGTCGTCTCCGCCTTCGTCGTCGTCGTGGTCGCCGTCACCGCCTTCGTCGTCGCGGTCGTCCCCGGCGCCGAGCCGCCGACGCCATCGTCGCCGTCGTCGGCCGTTCTGCACCTCCTGTTCATTCTCCCGCTCCTTCCTCACTTCCCTCCCTCTTGAATTATCCTCCGCCCTTCCGCCCCCTCGGTGTCCTTACTTCACTTCGTCCCTTCTTATCTTCTCTCCTCCTCCTCCTCCTCCTCCTCCTCCTCCTCCTCCTCCGACTCCGACTCTTCGTCCTTCCTTTCTTACCGGCACCGTGACGCGCAACACTACAGATATCTGGGCTCGCGCCTGCTGCAACGTGTGGAGCCGCGCTCCCCCGCAAACGCTGGCAACGTCAAATCGCAGTATCATCCGCGGGCAATGCCAAACAGAACAGAAAAGGAGGCATCTGGATCCGCCGTCGTGTCCTGTGGCACGAGTTGGAGTTGCCCTAATCCCATAAGCCGCAATCTTCAGTCCTAAGGATTCTTTGAGAGGCCAGGCTCCCCATTCACAAATCTTCCGGGGCTTGTCGGGTGCCTCCATGGGCCCGTCGCGTGGTGGCGGGTAATTCGTTCGGGCCCACGAAGAACCCAAGACGGGCCAAGAGCGCCCCAAGAGGCCCCCAAGCCGGTCCAATAAGGCCCCAAGTCGCCGAAAGATCGCTCCAAGACGCCCAAGGAGGCCTGAAGACGGCCCAAGATGCCCCCAATACGCCCTAAGAGGCCTACAAACCTTCCAGGAGGGCCCCCAAAGGCGAACACCCCGAATTCTCCTGAGGTGATTGAGGAATTTGGCGTTCTCGCCGTTTCTGATTCCCGACGCTCCAAGACGGCCCAAGAGGCCACCCAGACCGCCCCAAGACTGCCCAGATGCCTCCAAGAGGGCCCAAGAGGCTCCCAAGAGGCCCCAAGACGGCCCTTCTTCTTCCCAAGGTAGGCTCGAGGCGTCTCAAGGTGTGTGTGAAACTTCGTCCACGTGCGAGCGCACGCTCAGCTCTTGTCACTTCCCGTGGTGCCTCTTGCGGCGGTCTTCACCGCTCCTGCAGCCAAGGGCGTGACATGCCCCTCCTTATATGCCTTCCGGCACAGCGCCCTGTCGGCGCTGTCCAGGGACTCCACAAGGTCGTTGGGGAGAGGCTCTACAGCCCCCGAGCGTAGCATCTCCGTGCATGCGTGGGGGGGGGATCCCGAGAGGTGACGAATGCAGCGGAAGCGCTGCCGGAAGTCTTTATGGCACACAGGGCAAACGTCGTCCGCCGAGACGTACCTCCTCGCTTCGTTCCTGACGACGTGCACGGCGCGCTTGTGTTGCACGAGCCCTAATCTGGTTGCAAATGCTGGTGGATTGGGCCCGGGGCACATGTCGCAAGCGAAATTGAGCTGCACCCCGTCCGGTGAGGCACAGCTGTCACACTTGCTCTCTGAAAAATGAATCGCATCAACGATATCGTGCCATCGCTGGTCTTGGCCGCATATCACGTCCAGCCATTGTCCTGCGTTTTCGCTGGGGTCTCCCAGCGGCGCACATTGGCTGCTCAGCATTTGCACCGTGGTGAGGTCATCGAGCACGACCCGCATATGTCGGCATCATTTTGCCATTACGCTTCGATGACAACAGCGCCAGCAACTGTGTTCTGCCAGAGAGGAGAAGCCTCCGCAGATACCTCAGTCTAGCCTGCATAGCCAAGCAATCTATGGATGCCGCCCCCAAGGATTGCCGCACTTGCAGGTCCGTGCCTTGCCCTGGCCCAAACCGGACCTTGTCCACAATGCGCCGTAGCACCCTCATGTACACCTGGTTCAACGTCCGCGCGAAATGCGCGTCTGGCGTGACAACGCGCGCATGGAACATCAGCTTTGTCAAGATGCGTGCCTTCACGGCGTGCATCTTTGTAGCGATGGATATGTTCGGAGCACGAAATACACGGATCGCAACTGGCGCGTATGCGTCCATGGCTGCTGATGCCCTCTTCTCAGCATCGGGTTTACAGGTGCCTGCGATGGAGACAACTGTTCCGAGATGCTTATACTTCGACACAATGGACAATTTGATAGCGCCATCGTGATCTGATTTGACGTACACGCCGTCCTCGTGCCTGTGCTGCCCCCAATGCGCGCTGGCGTTTTTGCCCCTATACCGGAGCATGCACTCCGTCTTACCCGGAGCCCAATTTATCACCATTGCGCATAAGCGGAACAGCCGGCACAATACTTCTAGCAGCGTCTGGATAGCACGATCGAGGAGCTGTGGGGAAGCAGCCGCTAACGCGATACATTCGTCGTCCACGAACGTGGCGTCGATGATTTCCTCCTCGGTGGCGGCTTCCTCCCCTTCGTCCTCGGTAGTGCCCCAGAACGCCTTCTCCCCCGATCTCACGCGTAGGGCAATGCCTTTGCGCCTCATTTCCTCGTGGGGCATTTTGATCGGGACCGAGTATCCCGCGTTGAAAACCGTAGCTCCGAAGACGCATCCCTGGCGCCCTCCCTTGTGCGACCGCACAACTGTGTCGAGCGAGCCGTGCGAGAACCACGACCCCTCGTGCAGCCGCGCCACAAGGGAGGTAACTTTCGGGTCCACGTTCCACTGTTCAAACACGCCTCCTTCGGAGCATATGCAAGACGCCAGCCACTCGGCAACGTCCTGGTCAACGCCGAGGGGCGCCAAGTACTCGACGGGCGACTCTTGGGAAGAAACCGAGAAGCCAAATATGAGTTCGCGGATGATTCCGTCGAAAGCCTTGACAAAATCAATGAACAGCACAAGGATTGACAAACAATGCAACGACGCATATTCTATAACGGCGCGAACCAGGTGATGGGCAACATCGGTCCCACCTCCTTTAATTGCGCCGTGCTGCGACATTGGCAGGCGAGAGTTGTAGCGCGGTTCGATGCACTCGCTTAGCTGGGGGCAAAATGCCTTTCCTGCATTGTCAGACAACGACACTCCTCTGTAGTTGTCGCACTCGTCATCCGACCCCTTCCTCTTGAAAATCTCCTGCACACGACCCCCATCCAATCGACTGGCCAAGTTTCGCTTTCAACAACGCGTTTCTCGACTTCGAAATACTTTACAGGGATGGCGCCCCCCCCTGCTTTCAAGAGCTCGGCGGGTATCTCATCTGGGCCGACGCCGCGATGAGATTTCAGCTTGCGGCGTGCCCGCGCCGTCCGCTCAGGCGACAGCTTGAGACTCGTACTTCGCACGATGTCTTGCGGCACAGGCGCGCGCAGCAATGCCTTGCTCACGATCGCCCCTCTGAACACCTCGGCAAAATGCTCTTGCCATCGTCCTTGGCGCTCCGGCTCGTCAGCGACCGGTTCGCCACTTTCTTTTCGCATGGCAGAACCCGAGGTGGCCTTTTGCCTTCCGTCTAGTTTGCCAAGCAATCGAAACATGTTCCGCATGTCACCCGATTGCGACGCACACTGGATCTCCCAGGCGGCGTCATGCCACCAAGCTTCGCGATCTCTGTTGACAAGTGGCTTTACGGAGACACTCAGAGCGTCCAAGGCAAAGCGGACGCCTGCTTTGAGGGTTGCCACATGGTGTTGTTTTGCCCTCGCGGTCTCGCTCCGGCCGATTGCCACCCAGCCGCGCGACGCTTGCGAGGGAGCTGGGAACACGCACCCGCGCAAGGACGCCCATGCATAAAACACTCGCTCACTCAAGAACGCGTTACAACAAGAACCGAGTTTATGCATCCGCCTCCGCATGGGAGCAACATGCCTTACGATGGCCCAAGTGTCTGGGGTTATCCAAGGTTTTTGCGGGATGTCTCTAGGTTTACCAAAACACTTCAAAGCAGACGCCTTCACGTAGGCATTCAAATCGCGAAGGTGTTCGTCGACAGTGCCTGGCTTGGGTGAGAAATCCCACACGTAACGCTTGAATCGCTCAACGGCCCATCCGTTCCTCAACTCCAACTGATTGAAGCGGAACTTCCCGGGGCCTTTGGTTTTCTCCGCCGGGCTGTCATGGCAGCCCTGGGGAACCCCAAACTCTGCCACGAGCAACCTGTGATCTTCCTGTCCGCCGATTGTTAAGGGCACGGTGTCTTCGACGCACGCTCGTTTAACATCGGCATCAAGATGGGCACTGGTGCACACGTAATCGATCGACGAGACAGTGCCTCTCGGCGACCTCCACGTGCATCCGTGCTCAAATTTCTCGGACGACGCATGCAAAGACGTATTACGCAGAAATGTCATGAAACGCCTACCCACCGGTCGGAAGAAGTAGGTAGAAACATGAAGTAGGAAGGCGGAAGAAGTAGATTGCATTCGGGGCCGCCCAAAAAAAACAACAGCAACAACAATTACAAGAAATAGATTACAAATGTCCGGGCCCTGTCTTAGCGGCGCGCAGTAGCGCTAGGTCGCTGGGCTCCTCGGATGGCCCCATTCCTTGGCTGGTTTCGGTTGTTCTGGTTTTTTGTCGTTTGTCCGCCGATCGCACTGGCAGCCTTTCGGTCGCTCGGCCCCTCGGCTGGCCAAATGCGTTGGTTTTGTTTGTTTTTGTTTGTTTTCGCTTGTCCGTCGGCTGCACTGGTCGCCCCAGGCCCGCCCGCCGCCTTTCGGTCGCTCGGCCCCTCGGCTGGCCCAATTCACTGGTTTTGTTTGCTTTTGTTTGTGTTCGCTTGTCCGTCGGCTGCACTGGTCGCCCCAGGCTCGCCCGCCGCCCGCGGTCGCTCGGCCCCTCGGCTGGCTCCTTTCCACCGTTTTGTTTGTATTTGTTTGTTTTCGCCTGTCCGTCGGCTGCACTGGTCGCCCCAGGCTCGCCGTCCGCCCCGCGGGCGCTCGGCCCCTCGGCTGGCTCGTTTCCACCGTTTTGTTTGTTTTTGTTTGTTTTCGCCTGTCCGTCGGCTGCACTGGTCGCCTCAGGCTCGCCCGCCGCCCCGCGGTCGCTCGGCCCCTCGGCTGGCCCCATTCCTTTGTTTTGTTTGTATTTGTTTGTTTTCACTTGTCCGTCGGCTGCACTGGTCGTCTCAGGCCCGCCCGCCGCCCCGCGGTCGCTCGGCCCCTCGGCTGGCCCCATTCCCTGGTTTTGTTTGCTTTGTTTGTCTTCGCTTGTCTGTCGGCTGCACTGGTCGCCCCAGGCTCGCCCGCCACCCCGCGGTCGCTCGGCCCCTCGGCTGGCCCCATTCCCTGGCTTTCTTTGTTTCTGTTTGTTTTCGCTTGTCCGTCGGCTGCACTGGTCGTCTCAGGCTCGCCCGCCGCCCCGCGGGCGCTCGGCCCCTCGGCTGGCCACATGAATTGGTTTTGTTTGTTTTTGTTTGTTTTCGCTTGTCCGTCGGCTGCACTGGCCGCCCCGGGCTCGCCCGCCGCTGTTCGGTCGCTCGGCCCCTCGGCTGGCCCAATTCCCTGATATGCTCTGTTGTTGTTCGTCTTCGCTTGTCCGTCGGCTGCACTGGTCGCCCCAGGTTCGCCCGCCGCCCCGCGGTCGCTCGGCCCCTCGGCTGGCCCCTTTCCACCGTTTCGTTTGTTTTTGTTTGTTTTCGCTTGTCCGTCGGCTGCACTGGTCGCCTCAGGTTCGCCCGCCGCCCCGCGGGCGCTCGGCCCCTCGGCTGGCCAAATCCACTGATTTTGTTTGTTTTTGTTTGTTTTCGCTTGTCCGCCGGCTGCGCTGGTCGCCCCAGGTTCGCCCGCCGCCCCGCGGGCGCTCGGCCCCTCGGCTGTCCCAATTCACTGGTTTTGTTTGTTTTAGTTTGTTTTCGCTTGTCCGTCGGCTGCACTGGTCGCCCCAGGCCCGCCCGCCGCCCCGCGGTCGCTCGGCCCCTCGGCTGGCCCCATTCATTGGTTTTGTTTGTTGTTGATTGTTTTAGCTTGTCCGTCGGCTGCGCTGGTCGCCCCAGGCCCGCCCGCCGCCGCTCGGTCGCTCGGCCCCTCGGCTGGCCCAATTCACTGGTTTTGTTTGTATGTGTTTGTCTTCGCTTGTCCGTCGGCTGCGCTGGTCGCCCTGCGCACGCCCGCCGCCTTTCGGTCGCTCGGCCCCTCGGCTGGCCCCTGTCCTTGTCTTTGTTTGTTTCTGTTTGTTTTCGCTTGTCCGTCGGCTGCGCTGGTCGCCCCAGGCTCGCCCGCCGCCCCGCGGTCGCTCGGCCCCTCGGCTGGCCAAATGCATTGGTTTTGTTTGTTTTTTGATTGTTTTCGCTTGTCCGTCGGCTGCGCTGGTCGCCCCGAGCCCGTCCGCCGCCGTTCGGTCGCTCGGCCCCCCGGCTGGCCCAATTCACTGGTTTTGTTTGTATGTGTCGGCTGACCCCATTCCCTGGCTTTCTTTGTTTTTGTTTGTTTTCGCTTGTCCGTCGGCTGCACTGGTCGCCCCAGGTTCGCCCGCCGCCCGCCCCGCGGGCGCTCGGCCCCTCGGCTGTCCCAATTCACTGGTTTTGTTTGTTTTAGTTTGTTTTCGCTTGTCCGTCGGCTGCACTGGTCGCCCCAGGCCCGCCCGCCGCCCCGCGGTCGCTCGGCCCCTCGGCTGGCCCCATTCATTGGTTTTGTTTGTTGTTGATTGTTTTAGCTTGTCCGTCGGCTGCGCCGGTCGCCCCAGGCCCGCCCGCCGCCGCTCGGTCGCTCGGCTGGCCCAATTCACTGGTTTTGTTTGTATTTGTTTGTTTTCGCTTGTCCGTCGGCTGCACTGGTCGCCCTGCGCACGCCCGCCGCCTTTCGGTCGCTCGGCCCCTCGGCTGGCCCCTTTCCCTTGCTTTCTTTGTTTCTGTCGGTTTTCGCTTGTCCGTCGGCTGCGCTGGTCGCCTCAGGCTCGCCCGCCGCCCCGCGGTCGCTCGGCCCCTCGGCTGGCCCAATTCACTGGTTTTGTTTGTTTTTGTTTGTTTGCGCTTGTCCGTCGGCTGCACTGGTCGCCCTGCGCACGCCCGCCGCCCCGCGGTCGCTCGGCCCCTCGGCTGGCCTAATTCACTGGTTTTGTGTGTTTTTATTTGTTTTCGCTCGTCCGTCGGCTGCGCTGGTCGCCCTGCGCACGCCCGCCGCCTTTCGGTCGCTCGGCCCCTCGGCTTGCCCCATTCCCTGGCTTTTGTTTCTGTTTGTTTTCGCTTGTCCGTCGGCTGCACCGGTCGCCTCAGGCTCGCCCGCCGCCCCGCGGTCGCTCGGCCCCTCGGCTGGCCAAATGCATTGGTTTGGTTTGTTTTTTGATTGTTTTCGCTTGTCCGTCGGCTGCGCTGGTCGCCCCGGGCCCGCCCTCCGCCGTTCAGTCGCTCGGCCCCTCGGCTGGCCCCATTCACTAGTTTTGTTTGTTTTTGTTTGTTTTCGCTTGTCCGTCGGCTGCACTGGTCGCCCTACGCACGCCCGCCGCCTTTCGGTCGCTCGGCCTCTCGGCTGGCCCCATTCCTTGGCTTTCTTTGTTGTTCTTTGTTTATGCTTGTCCGTCGGCTGCGCTGGTCGCCTCAGGCACGCCCGCCGCCCCGCGGTCTCTCGGCCCCTCGGCTGGCCAAATGCATTGGTATTATTTGTTTTTGTTTGTTTTCGTTTGTCCGTCGGCTGCGCTGGTCGCCCCAGGCCCGCCCGCCGCCGTTCGGTCGCTCGGCCCCTCGGCCAGCCCCATTCACTAGTTTTGTTTGTTTTTGTTTGTTTTCGCTTGTCCGTCGGCTGCACTGGTCGCCCTGCGCGCGCCCGCCGCCTTTCGGTCGCTCGGCCGCTCGGATGGCCCCATTCCCTTGCTTTCTTTGTTTGTGTTTGTTTTCGCTTGTCCGTCGGCTGCACTGGTCGCCTCAGGCTCGCCCGCCGCCCCGCGGTCGCTCGGCCCCTCGGCTGGCCAAACGCATTGGTTTTGTTTGTTTTTTGCTTGTTTTCGCTTGTCCGCCGGCTGCGCTGGCCGCCCCAGGCCCGCCCGCCGCCGTTCGGTCGCTCGGCCGCTCGGCTGGCCCAATTCACTGGTTTTGTTTGTATTTGTTTGGTTTCGCTTGTCCGTCGGTTGCGCTGGTCGCCCTGCGCCCGCCCGCCGCCTTTCGGTCGCTCGGCCGCTCGGATGGCCCCATTCCCTTGCTTTCTTTGTTTGTGTTTGTTTTCGCTTGTCCGTCGGCTGCACTGGTCGCCTCAGGCTCGCCCGCCGCCCCGCGGTCGCTCGGCTCCCCGGGTGGCCAAATGCATTGGATTTGTTTGCTTTTGTTTGTTTTCGCGTGTCCGTCGGCTGCACTGGCCGCCCCAGGCCCGCCCGCCGCCGTTCGGTCGCTCGGCCCCTCGGCTGGCCCAATTCACTGGTTTGGTGTTTTTTGTTTTGTTTTCGCTTGTCCGTCGGCTGCACTGGTCGCCCTGCGCACGCCCGCCGCCTTTCGGTCGCTCGGCCCCTCGGCTGGCCCCATGCCCTGTCTTTCGTTGTTTCTGTTTGTTTTCGCTTGTCCGTCGGCTGCACTGGTCGCCTCAGGCTCGCCCGCCGCCCCGCGGTCGCTTGGCCCCTCGGCTGGCCAAATGCATTGGCTTTGTTTGATATTGTTTGTTTTCGCTTGTCCGTCGGCTGCACTGGTCGCCCCAGGCCCGCCCGCCGCCGTTCGGTCGCTCGGCCCCTCGGCTGGCCCAACTCACTGGTTTTGTTTGTGTTTGTTTGTTTTCGCTTGTCCGTCGGCAGCACTGGTCGCCCTGCGCACGCCCGCCGCATTTCGGTCGCTCTGCCCCTCGGCTGGCCCCATTCCATTGCTTTCTTTGTTTCTGTTTGTTTTCGCTTGTCCGTCGGCTGCACTGGTCGCCTCAGGCTCGCCCGCCGCCCCGCGGTCGCTCGGCCCCTCGGCTGGCCAAACGCATTGGTTTTGTTTGTTTTGTTTGTTTTCGCTTGTCCGTCGGCTGCGCTGGTCGCCCCAGGCCCGCCCGCCGCCGTTCGGTCGCTCGGCCCCTCGGCTGGCCCAATTCACTGGTTTTGTTTGTTTTTGTTTGTTTTCGCTTGTCCGTCGGCTGCACTGGTCGCCCTGCGCGCGCCCGCCGCCTTTCGGTCGCTCGGCCCCTCGGCTGGCCCCATTCCCTGGCTTTCTTTGTTTCTGTTTGTTTTCGCTTGTCCGTCGGCTGCACTGGTCGCCTCAGGCTCGCCCGCCGCCCCGCGGTCGCTCGGCCCCTCGGCTGGCCAAATGCATTGGTTTTGTTTGTTTTTGTTTGTTTTCGCTTGTCCGTCGGCTGCGCTGGTCGCCCCAGGCTCGCCCGCCGCCGTTCGGTCGCTCGGCCCCTCGGCTGGCCCAATTCACTGGTTTTGTTTGTTTTTGTTTGTTTTCGCTTGTCCGTCGGCTGCACTGGTCGCCCTGCGCACGCCCGCCGCCTTTCGGTCGCTCGGCCCCTCGGCTGGCCCCATGCCATGGCTTTCTTTGTTTCTGTTTGTTTTCGCTTGTCCGTCGGCTGCACAGGTCGCCCCAAGCTCGCCCGCCGCCCCGCGGTCGCCCGGCCCCTCGGCTGGCCAAATGCATTGGTTTTGTTTGTGTTTGTTTGGTTTCGCTTGTCCGTCGGCTGCGCTGGTCGCCTCAGGCCCGCCCGCAACCGTTCGGTCGCTCGGCCCCTCGGCTGGCCCAATTCATTGGTTTTGTCTGTTTTTTGTTTGTTTTCGCTTGTCCGTCGTCTGCACTGGTCGCCCTGCGCACGCCCGCCGCCTTTCGGTCGCTCGGCCCCTCGGCTGGCCCCATTCCCCGGCTTTCTTTGTTTTTGTTTGTTTTCGCTTGTCCGTCGGCTGCACTGGTCGCCTCAAGCTCGCCCGCCGCCCCGCGGTCGCTCGGCCCCTCGGCTGGCCAAATTCACTGGTTTTGTTTGTTTTTGTTTGTTTTCGCTTGTCCGTCGGCTGCACTGGTCGCCCTGCGCACGCCCGCCGCCCCGCGGTCGCTCGGCCCCTCGGCTGCCCCCATTCCCTGGCTTTCTTTGTTTCTGTTTGTTTTCGCTTGTCCGTCGGCTGCACTGGTCGCCTCAAGCTCGCCCGCCGCCCCGCGGTCGCTCGGCCCCTCGGCTGGCCAAATGCATTGGTTTTGCGTGTTTTTGTTTGTTTTCGCTTGTCCGCCGGCTGCACTGGTCGCCTCAGGCCCGCCCGCCGCCGTTCGGTCGCTCTGCCCCTCGGCTGGCCAAATTCACTGGTTTTGTTTGCTTTTGTTTGTTTTCGCTTGTCCGTCGGCTGCACTGGTCGCCCTGCGCACGCCCGCCGCCCTTCGGTCGCTCGGCCCCTCGGCTGGCCCCATTCCCTGGCTTTCTTTGTTTCTGTTTGTTTTCGCTTGTCCGTCGGCTGCACTGGTCGCCTCAAGCTCGCCCGCCGCCCCGCGGTCGCTCGGCCCCTCGGCTGGCCAAATGCATGGGTTTTATTTGATTTTGTTTGTTTTCGCTTGTCCGTCGGCTGCGCTGGTCGCCCCAGGCCCGCCCGCCGCCGTTCGGTCGCTCGGCCCCTCGGCTGGCCCAAATCACTGGTTTGGTTTGTTTTTGTTTGTTTTCGCTTGTCCGTCGCGGGGGCTAGCCGCGGGGCCGAGCGACCGAAAGGCGGCGGGCGAGCCTGTGGCGACCAGTGCAGCCGACGGACAAGCGAAAACAATCAAACGCAAACAAAACAAAGGAATGGGGCCGGCCGAAAGGCAGAGCGACCGCTGGGCGGCGGGCGAGCCCGGGGCGACCATTGCAGCCGACGGACAAGCGAAAAAAAACAAAACACAAACAAAACCAAGGACTGGGGCCAGCCGAGGGGCCGAGCGACCGAAAGGCGGCGGGCGAGCCTGAGGCGACCAGTGCAGCCGACGGACAAGCGAACACAAACAAAAACAAACAAAACCAAGGAATGGGGCCAGCCGAAGGGCCGAGCGACCGCGGGGCGGCGGGCGAGCCTGAGGCGACCAGTGCAGCCGACGGGCAAGCGAAAACAAACAAAAACAAACAAAACAAAAAAATGAGCCAGCCGAGGGGCCGAGCGACCGAGACGCGGCGGGCGAGCCTGTGGCAACCAGTACAGCCGATGGACAAGCGAAAACAAGCAAAAACAAACAAAACCAAAGAATGGGGCCAGCCGAGGGGCCGAGCGACCGCGGGGCGGCGGGCGAGCCTGGGGCGACCAGTGCAGCCGACGGACAAGCGAAAACAAAAAAAACAAAAAAAACAAGGAATGGGGCCAGCCGAGGGGCCGAGTGACCGCGGGGCGGCGGGCGGGCCTGGGGCGACCAGTGCAGCCGACGGACAAGCGAAAGCAAACAAAAACAAACAAAACCAAGGAATGGGGCAAGCCGAGGGGGCGAGCGACCGCGGGGAGGTGGGCGAGCCTGGGGCGACCAGCGCAGCCGACGGACAAGCGAAAAAAAAATAAAAACAAACAAAACCTTTGCATGGGGCCAGCCGAGGGGCCGAGCGACCGAACGGCTGCGGGCGAGCCTGGGGCGACCATTGCAGCCGACAGGCAAGCGAAAACAAACAGAATCAAACAAAACCAAGGAATTGGGCCAGGCCGAGCGACCGCGGGGCGGCGGGCGACACTGGGGCGACCAGTGCAGCCGACGGACAAGGCGAAAACAAACAAAACAATCAAAACCAAGGAATGGGGCCAGCCGAGGGGCCGAGCGACCAGCGTCGCCCAGGGAAGTGACAACCAAACCCTAGAAGTAGATTAGGTTTGCGCCCGCCCCCCAAAAAACAAAAAATATAGATTCTTGAAATAGGAAGGCGCTTAAAGTAGATTGGGATCTGGGAATCCAAAAATACCTACTTTCAACGGCCGGTGGGTACGGTTGTCGTCATTTCTGTCTCTCGATGGAGGCGACGTATGTCGGGACGAAGGTTTCTTGGCATTTGCATCTATGCACAACACAACATGCGCACATGGGGACTTGCCTCGTGCATTCAACAACACACTCGCCAGATCGTCCCAAAAATAATTTTTCGCCTCTTCCCGATCCCGCTCTATGGGGGCATGGGCCGAGACGACAATTATCGAACAACCGAGTTCCTTGGATTTGCCTGCAACATACGCGGCCCGACTGCTTATCACGTGGAAGCGGTCGTGCTCAAATTGCAGGGCCTTCGAAATCCATATCTGCACGCCGTAGTTGCCACGAGAATTGGCTCTCGCAACAAACATGGTGTAGGACGTGCTTGATTGCATGCGCTGTAAAATGGAGCGGCCTTCCTGAATCCCAACAGTGTCAATCCCAGACCGTGCAAACATGCATTCAAGCAAATGCACTTTTCCTGACAACGCCACTCCTACAGCCCTAGTGCTAGCAAGTCGCTCTTCCCATGGACATAACGTCTGCACATTTGCCGTGCCAACTCGGACATTCTCGTTTTCTTGGCCCGGGCGGTCGGCTCCACCCCCGGCTTCATGAACATGACCCTTCTCAGGGCCACCTGGGCATGGCGCGCCTCCAACGCAAGCTGAAGAAGTGTCGAAGTTTTGACCGTACACGTCGGTTCGGCTCCCCTGGGCCCTCCACTCTCAGACCTGCTCCGCGCAACACCCGTCCCCTCTCGTTCCCCCCGCACCCCTTCCGCAGCAGTTCAACTCTCGCTCGATGGGGCGGGGGGGGTGCTGAACCCCTAAATTCTCAATGCAAGCACAGATATCGTGAAAGTCAAAAGGGCATGCATGTACGAATGAATTCTCCGAGCACTCGGCCGAAAACATCTCTTGGGCAACGCTCCCGTGCTCCCCGTTCCACGCGTAGCAACTACTACACTCTAGGTATTGGGCTGCTTGGTTATACCCAACCTCGCAGTCATTACTCCCAAATCTACGTACGGGTATTGGTGAAAGCATCTCTTGGGCAACGCTCTCACAAGTCGCTCCCGGGCAGGGTGCGGCATTCCTGGCTGGCGGTAGCACTGCGTAGTTACGACCACGCTGGCACTCCTCTGGGTGATACGGCCCATTTAAAATCATCCCCTGGGCCCCTACTGAATTATGTGATTCCCCTACGTGTTGACAAACACGGGTATCATATTGGACGCTCATGCCCCCCCAGGGGCCGCTCCAGGGGCTGGAAAAACTGGCCCGTACGCGGTGGCATGGGGGGGGGTCTTGCTCTTGAGAGGCTTGCGTCCTACCTCCATGGCGGGATCTGTGACAGACCCCATCCCAGGCAGCGGCGGCACCTCCAGCTCGATGTCCCCAGAGGTGTCGACCGGGACCGGCTGATGAACGGCGGGCACCGTCACTGCTGCTACTGAGGCTGTCTGCTGTGCCTGCGCTGCTATGGACTGGATGCCGGTGACGAGCTGCTGCATCAGGCCCTTCGCTTGCGCCACGTGTTGTGGGTCCACGAAGCCTACCGACATCTCCTTCAGGACGTCGTCGAGGACCGACGTCATTGCCTCTATGGAGTTCGGCTGGCTTGGCTGCTGCGCTGCATTCTTCTGCAGCTCCGCCAACTCGGCCTGGAGCCTCTCCTGCTCCTGCGTCGCCGTCGCACGGGCCAGCTGGAGCTTGTCCGCCATCGCGTCGATCTCGGAGATGCGCTTCGTGCACCGCGCCCTTGCACGAGTCCAGCTGGGCGCCGAGCGGCTTTGACTTCACAGTCTTCATTCGGGCCGCCTGCGCGGCCTTCGTCAGCTCGGCTCTCGCTGAGGCGTACTCTGGCCCCGGCGGGAGGTTGGCAAGTGCCGCATCCACCTGCTTCACCTCGGCATTGTCCGCTCCCGGCTGCGACTGAGGGAGGAGCGACTGCTGAGACGACATATTCGCCACCTGGCCCGAGAGCGTGCTGATCTCGTTCCTCACTGGGTGGTCGATGTGGCCGTTCTTCACGTTCACGTGCCCGGTTGCAACCTGCGCCCAGGTCTTCTTGCACCCGCACTGCGCACACTTCTTCTTGTCCGCGATTCCACCACGAGCAGAAGTTGCACTGCCACCATGATGAAGACTGCGAGCCCCATCCCTGGCCGTGCGACGCGTGCCACGACTGGTGTCGTGCCGTGCTGGACCATTGCGCCATGCCGAATCGTGGCGGTGGTATCTGGTGCAAGCTTATGTTCACGATGCACTGAGACTCTCAGTTCTTGGACCCCACGCCGGCTTGGGCCCAAGATACCTTGACCCAAGATGCCTCCAAGAGGTCCCAAAAACGGCCCAAGAGGGCCGTTTTTACAGCCCAAGAGGAACCCTAGACGGCCCGAGAGGAGTCCACGGCTCCAAGAGGGGGCCCAGGTGGTGGACCCGAACGCACATTTCGAGAACTCGGCCCCGAAAGCCCCCCAGGAGGCCCCAAGATTCTCCCAAGAGGCCCCAAGAGGCCCCCAAGAGAACCCAATAGACCCCCAAGAGCCCCCAGGAAGCTCCAAGAGGCCCCCAAGAGATTCCCACGACGCTCCAAAAGTGCCCCCAAGAGGCCACCGAGAACGCTCCGAAGAGCCCCCAAGGAGCTCCCGAGAGCGCTCCGAAGAGACCCAAGAAATATCCTTGCGAAGTCTGACCCGCAACCCGAGTACGGTGGCGGGATGGAATGCCATTCGATCCGCCGCCGCCTGTGCTTGTCACAGGGATGCCCAGCGTGCTAGACGCTACCGTTTTTAGTTTTGGCTCTTCTCCGAAATAACTATCCCTCGGGCTCCAACCCGTCCTGCCGGCCACCCGGAAGGACCCGGAAGGGATCGCAAGACCCAGTTGCAAAGGTTTTTCCTGCTCCAGACGGCTCCAAGATGGCCCAAGATGGCTTCCAAGATGCCTCCAAGATGGCCTCCAAGACGGCCCAAGAGGGTCCAATATACTTCCAAGTCCGCCCAAGAAGCCCCCAAGACGGCCCAGAGGTCCTCCAGGAGGGCCCGAAGAAGCTAAAATCATTGATTTTCCGTAGGCTGTTGAAGAATTATCGCATTATTATGTTTTGTTCGGCCTTCCGACGGCCCAAGACGGCCCAAGAGGCCCCCAAGATCGCCCCCAGAGCGCCCAAGAGTGCTCCAAGATGGCCTCAGGACTGCCCAAGAGGGCCCTAAGACGGCCCCAAGAGGGCCCAAAGACGGCCCAAGAGGCCTCCAAGACGCCCCAGGAAGCCTCCAAGACTGCCCTGAAGCACCCCAAGAGGGCCCCTAGTCGGCCCAGAGAAGCCCCCACGACAGCTTCCGACGGCGTCAGACTGGCCCGGAGCCCACCAAGACGGCCCAAGATGGCTCTCAGATGGCCCAAGACGGCCCAAGAGGCCTCTAAGAGGGCCTCCAGGAAGGCCCGAAGAGGCCAAACTCATTGATTCCCCTCAGGGTTTGAAGGATTTTGGCATCTGCTTCTTTTCGGCCTTCCGACGGCCCGAGGCGGCCCAAAGGCCCCCAAAGATCGCCGAACGGGCCAAGAGGCCCCCAAGACGGCCCCAAGAGGGCCCAAAGACGGCCAAAGAGGCCTCTAACACTCCCAAGAAGGCTCCCAAGACGGCCCTGGAGCATTCCAAGAGGGCTCAGAGAGGCCCCCCAAACGGCTTCCGACGGCGTCAGACGGGCCAGGAACCCACCAATACAGTACTACAGCCGAAGATGGCCCTAAGATGGCCCAAGACGGCCCAAGAGTCCTCCAAGAGGGCCTCCAGGAAGGCCCGAAGAGGCCAAACTCATCTGATGTCTCTTCGGTGTTTGAAGGATTTGGGAATTTGCATATCTTCGGCCTGCCAAGATCGCCCAAAAGGCCTCCAGGATGGCCCTGGAGCTGCCCAAGAGGGGGGCCTCCAAGACGGCCCTGGAGCACCCCAAGAGGGCTCCCAGTCGGCCCAGAGATGCCCCCAAGACGGCTTCCGACGGCGTCAGACGGGCCAGGAGCCCAACAAGACGGTCAAAGAGGCCCCCGAGAAGCCCCCAAGGGCCCCCCCAGAGGCCCAACGAGGCCCCCAGGATACCTCGAAGAGGCTCCCAGGAAGCTCCCAGGAGGCCCAAAGAGTGCCCACATCGGCTCCCAGGATGCCCTGTCCTCCTCCTCCTCCTCCTCCTCCTCCTCCTCCTCCTCCTCCTCCTCCTCCTCCTTTATCTCCTCCTCCACCTCCTCCTCCGCCTCCTCCTGATCTTCCCCGCCATCTTCCCACAAGTGTTCCCCGAAGGGTTTCCACAACACTTGGGGGAACAAATGGTCCGATAGCTTGGCGGAGCTCTTGCCACAACGCTTGGCCACATGAGCGATTCTAGAAGGCAGGGCGCGGCGGTGATTTTTCTGTAGGCGTCTTCGATAAAAAGATCCCCATGGTGACAATGCCAGGCGCGACTGCTACAAGATCTCATCCGGGAGCCATGCCATCCCCTCCCCTCCGTTCCCATCTCCCTCCCCCTCCCCTTGAAGAGCGCCAATCGGCATGCACGCAAACTCCAGGAGGCCCGCGCGGATTTCTCGAGTCGGCGCTGCACCTTCTCTTTCCACACACCCCTTCTCCGGCGCGCGGAGCGCGCCTGGGGCAGCGCCAGAGGCGCCGCCAATGGCGGGATAGGTTGGCGGCGCGCACAAGGGGGTAGGGGGGGAGAGGACGGCTTCTTAGAAGCAGGGGTGCTTCTAAGAAGCCTTCCCCTCTCCCTCTCATACCCCCATTTGCGCGTGACGAAAAGGGGGGTCCAGCGACAACCCGGGACATCCGCGCACAAGATGCTTATGCCGCTTCGGTTCCAGAAGCCGAAGCCCCCTTCCTTCCCTCCCTCCCGACGCCAACTGATGGGCGATATCCATGGCCGATCCACGATTGGAGTCCCACCGGCTTCCAGACCCTGGATTCCTTGTCTAAGGGTCTGCCCGCTGGTGGAACTCCAATCGTGGATCGGCTACGGGTTTCACCGCCGCTCTCATCAGATAAGGATTCCTCCAGGGTCTGACGCCTCATGGGCATATTCCTTAACCGACGCCCCCACCGTGACCCGTCCTCCTTGCCGCCGACCACCCCGACTGGGCCGCCGGCTGGCCTGCATGGCCGCTGGGGGGGTCTCTCGCGCGCCGGCTGCTTGCTGCCCTCCTCGGCAGACCGGCGCGTGGCCGCGGTGGCAGCGACGACGACTAGAGCGAGGACGAAGGCGGGGGCGAGGATGGCGGTGGCCATGGCAAGGGCGGCGACGAGAAGGAGGACGACGATGGCGACGACGAGGACGACGACGACGACGAGCGTGACGTTGACGACAAGGGCGACGACCTCGAAGACGATGGCGACAAAGATCCCAACGACGACGGCGACGGCGACGACGACGGCGACGAATACGACGACTACGACGACGACGACGGTGACGGCGACGACGACGACGACGACGTTTGAGCGTTCCTGGATGCTCTCGTCGCCATGGCTGGGCGCGGCTCGGCAAACTGGCTAGGGTGGACCCCTAGACCGGGTGCGGCGACTGATTGTTAGCCAAGTTTCTCACGACGACGAACCAGACTCGCACCTCCAACGTCTTGAAAAATGAGGCGGGTTTGCTCAGTAATTCTCGGCGTCTAAAAATACTCTTCCATCTCCGTGATAGTCAAGACACGCTCTGGGATGACTGTCGGAGGTCTGGGAAGCTGATGTAGACGCGTTTCGCCCTGCTCGGGCTCCCGGGGACTTGCAGTCGCCACGGCTGAATTGCCCTCGAGGTTCTGGTCAAAACGCACCACTGGACAAGTCCAGGGGCGCATTCCTGAAGAAAGCGAAGAGGAGAGAGGATGATCAGGAGGAGGGGAAGAGAGGAACAGGAGGCGGTGAGGAAGAGTGAGAGCATCAGGAGGAACAGGACAACGACGACGACGGCTTCGGCAAAGACAGCAAAGACGCCGTGCGCCTCCTCCCTCGCCTCCTCCTTTCCCTCATCCGCCTTCTCCTCTTCCCCCTTGTCGATTCCCTCTTCCGGCGTCTCTTCCGCCTCCTCCTCATATTTCTCCTCCTCCTCTCGCAGTCATACAGGAAGACAGGGATGCATCTCTTGGACGTCCAGGCGGAAACAATTGCAGTCCAGTCCATGGTGTGTTGCTGTCGGGGCGAATGGACAAGCCTGCCTCGTAAGTAACCCTGGACACTCTGCAGTCAAGCGCAGAGCTGTACAGAGCTGTCTCGGTCAGCAGAGCGTCATCATGAACGCGCTGTCACAGAGACGGCGCGGCAGACATAACGCCGGTCTGCATGTGCAGCAGGGCACGGGCAAGCCCGGGCCCGTGGGGGGGGCGGAGCGGGGGGAGGAAGCGACAAGCGGATAGGCCGAGCAGGCAAGGATGCATGGGAAGTCCTGCTGAAACGATCCATCCTTGGTTGACTGTACGCCTGCCGGCTCCTTCAAGAACACGAGACCCTCCGCGTGGCCCAAACCAAAGAACATTCGAGGGTGCCCTTTTCCCAGGCTGCACTCGAACATCCAATGAACACAAAGAACATTAGGGTACCCTCCCCGAGCCGACCTCGATCTGATACCTCGGCTCGACCTTACCCATCTCCCGTGGTGGCACTGACGATCTCCGTATGGCGCACCAGTCTGGCTGGCCGCCAAGCGCTCCATCTGCACCTCACCTGGCCGTGCCCGGAGCGGCTCCGTGTCGGTAGTGGGGCTGCGCTTCCTGGGCTCAGTGCCGATGAAGGTGCCGATGACGACGCCGAAGATGGCGCGAAAGACTCTGGGCACTCCGCCTCCGAGTCTGTGGAGTGCGGCGGTGAGCGGCCCCAGCAGGCCGTCCGTGCTCCTGGGGGCGCCGAAAAGGATGCGAGCGGCCAGCTCTGCGTAGCGGCGAGCTTCTAGGGCGCCGGAAGCTCCCCTCTGGGCACGTGCACACTTTGCCGCCTCAGAGCGGCACGTGATGTACAAAAGACGCCGTTCGTGCACACAAGCGCGTCCGCGTAAAGCGCTGGCATAGCGTCCTCACCTGTGGAGTGCAGCATACAGTTGCCCAGACGCCTGGAACTGGCTGGTGGGAGGCTCCATTTGTTTGAAACTCCCTTATCAAAGCTAAGTGGGACAACTTCTTCGTCAAACCTAAGTGGGACCACTGCCAACGCTAAATGGGACAGCTGCTTCGTGTGGACCCGCTCGTCAACGTTAGGCTCTAAGATGGGTAAATCAAATCGGAAGCATCGCGCATTACTTGGCCAGCCAGGGAAGGCTCAATCGCAGTGTCGAAACCGCCATCGCCTCGGTTTGTCAGGAAACTGCTCAAGTTTGCCATCTGGTTGTGCCCGTGAACGCTTGAGGGGCAGTGCCAATTCATCAGGCTGATTAGCAGAATCATCGGCTAGCCAGGTGGACACAGTCCCAAACTCGCGCCACACATGTCCCCTCTCCTCGCACGACACACTAACGCCACGGCGGCCGTCCTGGCACCGGTGCAAGTCGCCCTTGACACTTTCGCCCTTTGCGACAACGTGTGCGCGGCAGTCTGGAGCGACGGTGGCGAAGGTCTTGACATCTTGACACCTTGTTCGATATTCTGATTGGCAACGAATACTCATAAGCATTCGACGGTCTGTGCGCTTTTAGTGCCCTCGCCTATCTCGCCACCCTCGCCTTTCTTGGCCGCTTCAGGACACATTGACACCCAGCCCTTCCCACTGCCGACGCCTGCACCAGGGTTCATCAAACGTTGAACCAATCGTCATTTAGCAGCACACAGGCCCAACGCTTTCAATTTTCAGGCGGCATGCCTACTTGCAGCTCCCAGTATCAGGGGCCCTATCGATGTATCACCTTAATGTATTACCAACGGTCGCTTTCGCTGCCACCATACAGAAATTCCGACGACCAGTCTGCGCAAGTCGCGGATGCACGAACGGTCTTGCGCGAGCTACTTACACTAGGAGCACGCAGAGAAATTGAGGAATCTGTCTGCGCCTCAAGGTCCCCAGTCGTGAGACCTTGTGATCGAATCGACGAATCTGAAGAGGCCTTCTCACGTGCACCCTGCGGGGCTCCAAGCGCTGCTGCAAAGAATTCTACGAACTTGACGTGCGCAATGTGGACCAAACGATAAAAGACCTAGCGTGGTATGCTGGAGCCCGTTCGCCCATTCAATCACAATCGAAGTCTGGCCAATGATCCCAACTCCATCGCTTGCGAAATCGGATTCCACTTCATACCTCCACCATCGAACCACGATCGTGAAGCTGCGATGCCGTCAGCGGTGCCCGCGCGCGTTCAACCTCGCCAAACTTGTCGTGCAAATTCGGGCACCGGCGCAGACGACAGCTCTTGCCCCTAGTCCCGGCTCTCTGCGCAATGACACAAAACGGAGCGGCCCTCACAGTTTTAGTCAAGCGTCAGGGCTGTCTCTGGGACCAAGAGGCTTCACCTTTGGCGGGGAAGGACGAGCAACCTGCAACCACCCAAACTATCGAAGCAAACGAATCAGCATTCCCAGCCCACCTGTGCAATTGGGTCCTCGTCTACTTGAACACTGTGCCGCGCGTCCCCTCCTCTCCTCTTCTCAGTGGACAGCGCTCTCTACTCGAGGCGCCATCCCAAAATCTAGGTATGTGATGTTGTTGGCTCTTGCCGCGTCGTCCATGCTTGCAAGCCCCGCCGCATGCCAACAGTCATATCGCACTCAAAAAATGCAGCGGTCGCGGCGACTGCGCGCGCCACACCAGTGGATCCCAAGACGTGAGCCAAAATGGCAAAGGATGGGAGCAGGAGGAGGGAAAAGAGAAGAGGAGGAGGAGGAGGAGGAGGAGGAGAAGGAGAATGAGGAGGAAAGAGGGGGAGATTGGAGCGCAGAGTACGCCAGAGCTCGCAGGGCTCCAAAGAGTCGGGGAGATGGGGTGGGGCGTCGGAAAGACTCGCCATGGTAGAGCCTGGGCACGCTGGCCCCCGAATTCTCGGCTACGCAGTCGATCCCCTCGCGACCACTGAAAACGGTGACGCAGACTGCAAGGCCAAAAACAGGGCCTCCCCGCAGGCAAGTCAGACGCCCCCCCACTCGAACGGGGGCCTCACCCTCACCGTGGCCCTTACCGCGGCCCTTGCCGCGGCCCTGGACCACTGCCCTTACCGCGGCCCTAGCCCGCGGCCTTGCCGCAGCCAGGCAAGGCTTCGGAAGGAGGGGGAGGGTGTCTGACGGCGAGGGTGAAGGATCCCCAGTCTGGGCAACCGGAGGAGTCGGAGACGGGGAGTGGAGCGGGGAGCGGGGACTGGTGGGTTCGGTCGGGGGGGAGGGGCGCAAAGGGAGGGGTTGACGGGCGGGCGACGACAGACGCAGTTCCCATGCTCCCCAAAGCATCGGCCCTGAATAACCTTGGGTGGATATACCTCTGGCACACGCGTCGTTCATTCTCGCTGTTACCAGGAAGAAGCAACACAGATTCAACAAACATAAGATTGGGGGCCTTACCGCTTGCACAGGACTTGCGCTGACTCTTCTGTTTTCCATTGTTTTCTCGGACCACACTCCCCCCGATATCGCCTTCCGCTCCACATGCTGTTGCGGCTGCCGGTGGGGGACGCACCTTTATTTTCGTGCCCTACAGGGCGCCCCGACTTCGTCGCAATTGGGCGCATTTTGACACATCCCGCACAGAGCCCCAGCTTGGGCGCAAGAGGGTACGTTCGAAATCGGGCCTGGGCCGAATGCGATACACCAATATCTCACACACTTTTCCTCCGGCAGCGACGTGACGACACCGTCGCGAGAGGTAAGCGGGAACACCCTTGGGCGAATTTCCACCTGGCCTAGCAGATTGGAAGTCTGGATGGGGGCAGAACGCGAGAACGCGAATGCACGTGGAGGACGCCAATGTGGCAAATTCAGGAGGTCGCCAAGCACAACCCCTGAGGCACAAAGGCATAGCAGATAAGGTGCGACAAAAGCGTGTCGTCAGGACGTACCCACAGCGGCAGGTGGTGCATCTGGTGCCGATGCAGCCCGGTTGTATGGGCGTACCGACAAGGACGACAAAACAGCTGGCCCGGGGCGGGTACGGCGGGTAGCAGGCCATAGCCGCAAGCCCGTCGTGCCAGCCACGACGCTGCACTCGGAGAGCCGCAGCCAGGCGGACGAAGGAACCGAAGTTGGGCACACCCCTCCAGCACGTGCGCAATACGGAACCCCGCCTCGGGCACCAGTGGGCACACTCGCATTTGCACCAACACCCCGCGTCAGGGTGGGGCGGGGGTCTGCGCTAAGCTGATTTGAACATGTGATGCAGTCCTGCGGACCAGCGGCACGAGACGAGGGTGCCGAACAGTCTCAAGCGAGTGGGGCGGTGAGCGAGGAGAGGCCTGGATGGGCCGCGTGAAAGCGCCGCCGAGGACCGAATGAAACGGGCCCCTTCTTCTGGTCAGAATATGAAGACCCTCTTTATCCAGACGGCGGCACGCCCTCGCGCGCTTCGCGGCAGGAGTCGATCAGGACGACTGGCGGCTGGAAATTGGATATCCAACCTCGCGCCACGCTCTCGCTGACGTGACCCCCCCGCAACAACTCAATAGATTGACCTGCTTTCTGATGACGCCGAGGGGCACTTCTGGATTACTTCGGGATCGCCAGCGCCCACTTCAGCGAAGCTTGCCAGCATGAAATTCGAGGGACTGCGAGGAGGCCAATACGTGCACCGAGGAGCTGTCAGGATGCCAAGACGTGCAATCTGCAAACGTTCACCTCCAACTGGCAACACACGAATGGTCTCATAAGAAGTGGATCAGTTAGCCATGAATGCAAGGAGGATGCTGTTTTCGATGTTCAATGTACTTTCGATTCACGGGGGAACTTCAGGCCACTTGCCAGATGCCCAGAATGCTCGAGTCACCCTTTCGATTTGAAACGAACCTCGGAAGTCCAGAACCCTTCGAAACGCGCACGGTTGCAATGACGAATCTGTTGTGTTTTGCGCGTGTACAGGCAGGGGGAGGAGGGGAAGGAGGCGGACGAGAAGGAGCAGTTAGGAGGAGAGAGAAAAGAGAGTAGGACAAGCATGAGAAGGAGGAGAAGAGGGATGAGGGGGACGAGGGGGGGAGGGAATGGAATGAGTAGTGAGCCAGAAGGAAGAGGAGGAAAAGGATAAGTATATTAGGGGAGGCAGGAAACAAGGATCATATAACAAGAAAGAGGAGGAGAGGGAGGATGGGCAGGACGAAGAGGAGCGAAGGCGCAACGCAGCAGCTGCATCATCCTCATTTCGTTAGCTCGGACTGCTCCGCATCCTACTCCCACTCCTGATGCCCCACTCTCTCCTCCTCCACCTTAAACTCATCAGCGTAACCCAACCTCCCTGCGAGCAGCAGCCCGATGATGAACAAGAGGAACTAGTAGTGAGGAAGAAGATGAGCAGCAGCATGAAGGCAGCAGACAGGAGAGAAATGAAAGAGCAAGCGGATGATGAGGAGGAGGAGGAGGTGGAGGAGGAGAGGGAAAGTGGCAGCAGCAGCAAGCAGAGGGACATATACTATGAGAAGGCGGGGAAGGAGGAGGAGGAGGAGAAGGAGGGGGAGGAGGAGGAGGCGGAGGAGGAGTAGGATAGGGAGGAGGAGGAGGAGGAGGAGGAGGAGGAGGAGGAGGAGAAGGGAGAGAAGGCGGAGGAGTAGCAGGGAGGAGGGAATGGTGGGAGGACGATGACGGGCGGCAACGTCGACGACTACGACAGACATCGTTATCGACGGCGGCGGCGACGACGACAGACGACGACGACAACAACGACGACGGCGACGACGACTGACGACAACGACGCCGGACAACGACGACGACGACGACGACGACGACGACGACGACGACCACGACGACGTCCGACGACGACGACGACGACGACGACGACGACGACGACGACGACGACGGACGACGAGGAAGACGGACGACGAACACGACGACGACGGACAACGACGGACGACGAAGACCACGACGACGACAACGACCACGACGACGACGACGTACGACGACGACGACGACGACGACGACGACGACGACGACGACGACGGCGACGACGACGACGACGACGACGTCTGACGACGACGACGGACGACGGACGACGGGCGACGGACGACGGACGACGGACGGCGGACGAAGGACGACGACGAGGTCGAAAATGACGACGACGACCGATGACGAGGACGAGGACGAGAACGACGACGACGACGTCATCGGCGACGACGACCGACGACGTTGCTCGCGACGACGGAGACGACGTTCATCGGCGACGACGACGACGTCTCACGACGACTGCCGAGGGAGAGGCCGCGGAGGAGGACGAGGCGCAGTGCGTCGGCCAAAACGAGGAAGACGACGAGGACGATATCGGCGAGGACGGGCGAGGACGACGACGCCAGCCGACGACACACGATCGACGGCGCGGATCTCGGGGGGCCGGCCAGGCGGGCGCCGCTGAGGCGGGCCGCCGCTGCAGAGGAGATCCCGCCGAGGACCGGCGGCGCGGGGCAGGAGCTGCGGCGGCCCCAAAGCTGAGAGGTGAGCCCCAATAGCTGCGCGCGTTCGTCGTCGTCAGCCGTGCTTCGACAGTCGTCGTCCGTCGTCGTCTGTCGTCTGTCGTCGTCGTCGTCGTCGTCCGTCGTCGTCGTCCGTCGTGGTCGTCGTCGTCGTCGTCGTCGTCGTCGTCGTCAGTCGTCCGTCGTCGTCGTCGTCAGTCGTAGTCGGCCCTGGAAGCTGAGGGGTGAGCCACAGAAGCTGCGCGGCTGGCTGGTCCGAGGACGGAGGGGGGAATGTCGGGGCTCGAGCAGTCGTGCCTGTAAGCGACTCTGGACTCCTCTGGGCCCGCGGGCTCCAGGGGCCTCCGAAGGCCTCGGGGCACCCCTGGAGACCTCATGGAGACCTCCACGGATGCGGAGCCGAACAAGCTGTGCTGGTCGTCGGTCGTCGGTCGTCAGTCGGTTGGTCGGTGTCGTCGTCGTCCTTGTCGTCATCGTCGTCGTCATCGTCGTCGAAGTCGTCGTCAACGTCGTCGTAGTCGTCGGTCGGGCGTCGTCATTTTTCGTCCAGCGTCGTCGGCAACACCGTCGCTTTCGTTGTCAGTCGTCGTCAGCCGACGTTCGTCATCGTCAATCGACGTCAGTCGTCGTCGCCGTCGTCAACAACGTCGTCGTCAACGTCGACAACATCATGGGTCGTCGTCGCCATCGTCGTCGTCGTCGTCGTTGTCCGTCGTCGTCGTCGTCGCTCGTCCGTCGTCGGTCGTCCATCGTCGAGGTCGTCGTCGTCGTCGTTGTCGTCAGTCGGCGTCGCCGTCGTCGTCGTTGTCGTCGTCGTCCGTCGTCGTCGTCGTCGTCGTCCGTCGTCGTCGTTGTCGTCGCCCTGATCGTCGTCGTCGTGGTCGTCGTCGTCCGTCGCCCGTCGTTGTCAGTCGTTGTCGACAACAACGTCAACGGTCGTCGCAGTTGTCGTCGTCATCGTCGTCGTCATCGTCTCACTCGTCGTCGTCATCGTTTTCGTCGTCTTCGTCGTGGTTGTCACCCGGCGTCATCCGTTGACGGCTTCGTCGTCGTTTAGAACGTCGTCGGTCGCTAGTCCTCGCCGTAGTCGTCGAGAACGTCGTCAACGTCGTCGTCGTCGGCCAGCGTCTGTCGTCGTCAGTCGTCGTCAGTAGTCGGTAGTCGTCGTCAGTCGGCGTCCGTCGATACCCGTCGTAGTCAGTCGTCGTCGCCGTCGTCGAGCATCGGTGATGGAGATTCGAGGATCGAGAAACGGAGTGCCGAGGTGTTGGACAATGTTTGACTATTTTTATTGGCCTCGGCGGGGCCTCTGAGGTGAGCTCAAGGAGCTGCAAGCGTCGCCCGTTATCGGTCGGCGTCGGTCGGTCGTGTTCGCTGCAGCCGTCGTCGATCGTCGTGGTGGTGGTCGTCGTCGATCGCCGTCGTCGATCGTCTGTAATGTCTGTGTCCTCGCCCTCGTCCTCCCCTTCCTCCCTCCTCGTCATCGTGCTCCTTGTCCTTGTCTTCCTCGTCCTTGTCGTCATCGTCCTTGTTATCCTCGCTTCGGCTGCCAACTCCTCCTCGGTTTACATCGCCGTCATCGATCGTCCTTGTCCTCGTCCTCCCCGTCGTCGTCGTTGACCTTCTCGTCCTCGCCATCCTGGTTGTTCGCCTTCTCCCCCTGGCCTTCTGCTCCTCCTCTCCCATTCTCCTCCTCCTCCCCTCCTGCTCCTCCGCCCCCGCCGTTTCCTCCCCATCCGCAGGCGCGGATGATAAGAAGGAACGGAAGAGGTGAGAAGGAGAAGCAGTAACAGGGCAGAAAGAAATGAGGAAGGAGGAGCAGGAGGAGCAGAAGCAGAGCAGAGGGAAAGGCGGAAGGAGGGGGGGGAGCAGCACCTTCAGAAGCAGGGCGGAAGGCTGGATCGGAGGCGCATTGAGGCACAGTCTCCTTTGAGGGGAGGCGGGGCATAGGGGGGACGCGGGGAGCCGGGCGGGAGGAGGGAGATGAGGGAAGGGAGGAGGGTGAGTCGGGGCAGGGAGGAGGGCGGGGGCCTCCAAGCGCAACCCCCATCGCTTCGGAAATCGAGGGCCACCCCCCTGAAGGATGTCGACGACGACAACGGCGACCATCGAGGACCGAGGATCGAAGTCTCGAACCCTTCTGCGAGCTGCTGCCCGTTTGACGAACCTGCGTGGGGGCAGGGCCTTGCGAGAACGCTGGAGCCCGGGAGGCCGAAGCAGGATCTTCGAAACCAAGTGTGTCGGACCGATATGCTAGATGGAAGCCGTCGCGCGCGCGGGAGAAGGAGGGGGAGAGTGGAAGAAGAGAGAGGGAAAGGAGCAGGGGGAGCCAGCAGAGAAGAACAAGCAGGATGATGGGTGAGGAGCCAAGAAGAAGATAGCCGAAGAAGCGAGGGGTGAGGAGAGAGGGAAGGCTCCTCAACCGATAAAGGAAGAAGGAGAGGATCGTACGTCCTGCAAACATTGTGCAACATGTTGTCGATTGAGATACGCAAGTTGTAGATAATCCTGACATGTTGGGTTGGTGCTGAAACCGTAAAGAATGCATGGGCAGTGGGCGGCAGTGATTCGCCGCAGGCCTCTTCGATAATCCCGTCTCACGTAACACTCTGAAAGAAACCTACTGGTAGAGCTACAACTCTAGTACAATCCACTGCCATGCTCCAGCTTCTTCGCCCGGATTGCGTGGCAGTGCTTCCCCCTCCGCCCCCCTCCCTCCTCTTCTCCTCCTCGCCCCGCCACCTCCGCCGCGGAGAAAGCGCGGCCGCCCACGCGCGCGGGGCCCTCCTGTGCGCCTGCCCGCCTTTCAAGGCCGCCTGCAGGCCGCGGATCGCCTGCTCCGCGGGGCGCGGTCTCTGCGCTGCGCGGCACGCGGCCGCCGCGGCCGCTTCCCTCGGCCCCAGCGGCGACGACGACGCCGTCGTCGGAGGATCGGGGGAAGATGTAGAGGACATGAACGACACTCCTGGAACACACAGAAGCACAAACCAACCATCATTATACAGATGTGTACACCTTTCTACATTTATATATATATGTGTATACATATAGGTGTGTATATATAGCACCCCGCAATTGCGGATAAGAGTGAGGGGGCGGGCGCGGGCGACGCGGGCGTCGTCAAGCCGGCGGACCTCGTGGCCCCTACCTTCCTTGTCGATGGCGCTCTCCTCCACCTCCTCCTCCTTCTCCTCCTCTTCCTCCTCCTTCTCCTCCTCCTCTTCCTCGTCCTCATCGTCATCGTCATCCTCCTCCTCCACCTCGTCCTCCTCCTCCTCTTCTTCCTCGTCCTCGCTCTCCCCCCCTCGTCTTTTCATCATGGTCCTCCCATTGTCGTCCTCCCCCTCATCGGCCTCCATCATCGTCCTCCCATTGTCGTCCATCATCATCATCATCATCATCATCATCATCATCATCATCCCCATCCTCCCCCTCCTCGTCCTCTTCCTCCCCCTCCTCCCCCTCCTCCCCCTCGTCCTCCTGCTCCTCCTCCTTTTCTTTCTCCACGTTCTCCTTACATCCTCTCTTCTTCCACGTTCTCCTCGTCCCCTGTTTACTCATCCTGCCTCCCCCTCCTTTCCCAAGATAACTGCAACGCAATCCTTTTTTCCACTTTATGCTCCCCGCCTTCTCTGATCAAGGCAACTCGCCAGGGCAAAGTTGCTGGACGGGCTGGCGTGGATGTGCGGGGCGTGAAGAGGTCCTTGCGGGCTCAGACGGCATGCAAGAATCCGCCGCCGCGCTTGTGCGGCATTGGTTTGTTCAGTGAACGTGGTTTAGGTCGCGGGTGCGTCGCGGGCTCTCCACCTCCACCTGGAAGGAATGCAAAAGCAGCCCGCCGCAAGCGCCAAAAAAATTGGTTCGTACACGGAACGAGGTTTGGGTCGCGGGTGGGCCGCGGGTTCTCCACAGGGAACGAATGTAAAGGATGCCCGCCGCAGGCGCGAAAAATGTGGTTTGTACCCTGAACGTGGTCGCGGATGGGCCGCGGGCTCTCCACCTGAAACGAATGCAAAATATGCCCGCCGCAGGCGCCGAAAAATGTGGTTTGTACCCTGAACGTGGTTTGGGTCGCGGGTTGGTCGCGAGTTGGTCACGGGATGTGTCGCGGGCTCTCCACTTGGAAGGAATGCAAAAAAGCCCGCCGCAGGCGCCGAAAATTGTGGTTTGTACCTTGAACGTGGTTTGGGTCGAAGGTGGGTCGCGGGTGGGTCGCGGGGTAGGTCGCGGGTGGGTCGCGGGTGGGTCGCGGGTGGGTCGCGGGTGGGTCGCGGGTGGGTCGCGGGGTGGGCCGCGGGGGGGTCGCGGGGGTCGCGGGTCGCGGGGTGGGTCGCGGGGTGGGTCGCGGGGTGGGTCGCGGGTGGGTCGCGGGTGGGTCGCGGGTGGGTCGCGGGTGGGTCGCGGGGTGGGTCGCGGGGTGGGTCGCGGGTGGGTCGCGGGGCGGGTTGCGGGTGGGACGACGACAACAAACAACAACAACAACAACAACAATCACTTTACCCGAACGCTCAGTGTTCTCACCAGTGCCAGGGTTTTCATGCGACGCCAGCCAATACCCCCACTTTGTGGGGGGGCAGTGCAAGCTCTACCAAATATCCACACGACTCTTCGCCACCACCCACACCCAGCTTCCCGCCCTATGACGTTCGGACACTTCACTTCGTGGCCTGCGGACGACCGTGGCTACTACACTGGCGTGGAGTACACACCCACAGAAGTTGTTAGGACAGCGCGCGCGGGTAGAAATTTTGAAAAGTCGTGCAGGTGTTTTTCGAGGACCTACGGTGCGATTCGTGTGATTTTATGATGCGCGGTGCTAAAATTCTTAAGAAGCCCAATGGTTTTTGGAGATTTCGGCGTGCGCGCGCGAAGAAAAAACGAATGTGTCCCGCATGGTATTATTTGACAGGGATGATGGCCCTGGCAGGTGCGCAACCGTTGTCGCAGAAGTTCGAAAAAGTTGCTCGCAAAAGCCCGTTTGACAGAAATGTTTAAAAAGTGTTGGGTTTCCTACGAATCCGCAAGAGCGCGCGGGATGAGATTTTGACATTTTTTTGTTGAAAAACCATTGGTTTTTTGATGTTTTTATGTTAAAATCGCTCCGAACACTAAGCTTTTGGAAGGATTTCGTCTTGCGCGCGCGAATGTCCACTTTACCTTATTTTTTGCAAGGGATTCTTGAAATTTGATTATATTAGAACAAGAAATGTCATTTTATAGTGTTTTTTGCAAGGGAAAACGGATTACAACAAAACAACCGGATCTTGATCACATCGTATTACCTGAGGCTTCCTCACGAAAATGATGAAAATGTAGCTGCGGCCTAGGCGGCGCAGGGGGGCCGTGCACCAGGGGTCCCAACAATAATTATTCTTTAGAATTAATAATGTTCAACAACAAACAACAACAACAACAACAACAACAACAACAACAACAACAACAACAACAATCATTTTACCCGAACGCGTGGTGTTCTCCCCAGTGCCAGGGTTTTCATACGACACCAGGCAATACCCCCACTTCGTGGGGGGGCATTACAAGCTCTACCAAATATCCAAACGACTCTTCGCGACCACCCAAACCCAGCTTCCCGCCCTATGACGTTGGGACACTTCACTTCGTGGCGTGCGGACGACCGTGGCTACTACACTGGCGCGGGGTACACACCCACAGAACTTGGTCACTTATTCGGGGCGCGCATGTGCCCAGCATGGTGCAATTGTGCCATACAATACATAATACAGAGAGACGAATGTGTCCCGCATGGTATTATTTGACAGGGATGATGGCCCTGGCAGGTGCGCAACCGTTGTCGCAGAAGTTCGAAAAAGTTGCTCGCAAAAGCCCGTTTGACAGAAATGTTTAAAAAGTGTTGGGTTTCCTACGAATCCGCAAGAGCGCGCGGGATGAGATTTTGACATTTTTTTGTTGAAAAACCATTGGTTTTTTGATGTTTTTATGTTAAAATCGCTCCGAACACTAAGCTTTTGGAAGGATTTCGTCTTGCGCGCGCGAATGTCCACTTTACCTTATTTTTTGCAAGGGATTCTTGAAATTTGATTATATTAGAACAAGAAATGTCATTTTATAGTGTTTTTTGCAAGGGAAAACGGATTACAACAAAACAACCGGATCTGGATGACATCGAATTACCTGAGGCTTCCTCACGAAAATGATGAAAACGTGGCTGCGGCCTAGGCGCGGCGGGGGGGGCGCGCACCAGGGGGCCCAACAATAATTATTCTTTAGAATTAATAATGTTCAACAACAACAACAACAACAACAACAACAACAACAACAACAACAACAACAATAATCCGCACCGCGGAATTCCACATCAGTCACGCACCCAGGGACAGTGAATGACCGTTCGGCCCCCTCACTCTGATATATGTATATGTAAAACCTCGCATATTGTCCTTCCCGCGACAACTCTGTGGCTGGTGATCACCAGCACGATACGAGGAAACGGACGCACTACGCCTGGCCAGTGTTCTGCCTTGTTCGCCCCTTCCCCCCCTGACGCTTCAGGCCCCCAGGAACGACCTCCAGGACGGACCTCGGGCCCCGGGGATGACTTCCAGGACAGCCCTCGGGCGCCATGGATGTTGTTAAAGGCGTCCGAGAAGGCCGACGCAGGAGAAGGGCTATCGAGCGGCCTGGCGACGGTCACCTATGTACGCCTGACACTTTCCAGGCACTCACTAGGTTGGCGGAAGAAGGAATACTTACGCCGTGCCTCAAGATGTCACACTCATTGCGTGTGCAGCCTCCTTGCTACAGAAGGTCAACTCGTGCAGGCTTGATACAGGCTTGCAGCAAATTGTCGGGTGAGACACACAAAGCACAAGTTGCACAACATCTGCAAGCGCCTTCTTGACACAAATATACATGTAAATATATATAGACACCTGTGTCTCTCCCTTTGCTGCAGCGGCCGACCCCCACCGACCTTTCATGATCGTTGTCTGCATGCTGCGGCGGGCAATGTAATCATTAGTCGCGCCGCCGCGTCGGCGAGAATACCAAGTGAACCTGTAATTCTCCACATTGAAGAAGCCGGGGCAAGTCCGCAAGTGGTATGGCGACTGGTCGCTGATGGTGTCCTCAGGTTCGCACCGTCGGCCCACTCTGCCGTGAGCTTGACAACGGCAGGGCACTCGACGACCACCACCTCCATCGTGGCCTTGCGGTAACCCGTCTTGATCATGGGCAGCCGGATGATGAACAAACCCTTGATAATCGCGATCTGCCCCCTGGAAATGGCAAAGAGCTGCGCGGCGCGCAGGAGGCCCGCGAAACCGGACACGACGAGGCGCGCCACGTTGGCAGCGCCGCGCTCGATCGCCGCCGCCGTGAGGACCAGGATTGGCGGCAAGGCCCTAGTTGATCGACCACCCCGCCAGGCAACGCCACCGAGAACTCCTCGCGGACCCCTGGCGCAGCCCTCGGGAAGACCAGCATGGCCGCGGACTGAAAGCGGCGTCCCCGTGACGGTATTGCAAGGGGAGCGGCCAGTGAGGCCAGCAGCACATAGCGCGGGTAGCGCAATGGGTTGGCCCACAGGCGGAGAGCGACTCGAGCTTCAGACGGCCATTCGCCAGCGCGCTGGCCGGACTCGGCGTGTCCGAATGCGTCGAACAGCGGCCGGCGGGCGTGCGCGGCCGCCCTCCCGTGCAGCCCGCGGGAGACAAACACGATCTCACCGATGCCCGACAACGCGCGACTTCCTCGCATTCCCGAGAAGGCGGCTCGCACCGGCAACTGCGGTTGCCGACTTCGGGGCCCTCCTCGCGGGCGGCGAAAACTACGCAAGGCGCAGAAGGTGAATTGGGTCCCGCGTCGGCCTGTTGTGCCTCCGCCGCATCGTATTTCAGGACCTTGAAACTTTCGCGGAGGACAAGTCGGCCGGATGACGCTGACCAGGGCGGTTCCCAGGTCCGATAAGCATCCAACTAATATCGGCACTGATGGAAAACCGACTTCGCAACACGTCACGGATAGACCGAAACAAGTTAGAATTTGCGACCGCTCCGCCTGTGCATAGCATAAGTCTTGCAACAGTAGCCCTCTTCCTACCACTTCGGGCCGTTGCGGGTCCCAGAACGGCGAAGGATGCGCGCAGGGATGAGGCAGACAGCCGCGGAGGTTGAAGCGCTGCTGCTGCTGCTACTCTCTGCGCCCTCCCGCCTGCACCAAATTACGTGTGCAATGCCAAACTGCCAGAAACCGAATGCAGAACGGTGCTCACACAGCTCTGAAAGAACGGCGGCGGGCAAACCCTGGCACCCTCGCCCTGGTCAGATGCAATCTCGCGTGTGCTCTACGGCGGCCCGAAGTCATAAAAGCACGGCTCTCTAAGATGCCCTCTCCACCGACGTGCGCCTATATCGGGGATGGACAGGCCTCCCTTTAGTAAAACGTGGTTTAGTGAAAACGACCTGAGGCCCAAACCTGGCGGGCGCAAGCTTGGAAAACAACGGCCACGGCGCCATCTCGAGAACCGAAAACGGACAAATCACTAATCGACGTGTCACTGTTGGGGGGGGTCTGTCCACCCCCGACTGTACATGGCTGTGAACAGATTCCTGCACACCGCGAGCCGCGGGCGGGCCCCCCTTGCGGGGCCTCCCACCCCGGAAGACAACACAGTCGGGCTGCTCCTCGAAAGGGCCGTAGGGGGGCAGGCCTCTCTCCAGCCCCCAGGGCGTGTGAAAATGGCACCGACATCGCGCACGAGAAACAAATGACTCTGAAATGCCCTCTCCGTCGACGTGCGCCTATACACGACTATGAACAGATTCCTGCACACTGCGAGCCGCTGCTCTTCGAAAGGCCGTATGGGGGCAACCCTCTCTCCAGGCCCAGGGCGTGTGAAAATGGCACCGACCTCGCGCACGAGAAACAAAAGATTCTGACATCTGCTGGTAGCTCTGTCGGATGTGCTGGTGATCGCAGGCCAATAGCGATCGAACTTAAACCATTTCTAGTATGGCGTCCTCACGTCGTGCTCGGAGCTTGGTAGCCCTCAGTCGGCTCTTGCAAACGTGCGAGACGGATGCGCGCGGCGCTCCAGCGACAACCCATGTTTGAAACGGGAACGATTTCAGTCATTGAAGCTGCTGCAAGCTTTTAAGACACCGCAATAAGGCGAGAGCCTCATGTTGAAAAAAATGCCTTCCGTCCTTGAAGCTGCAAGCTTTTCAAACGAACGTTTGCGGCGCTGAGGCGAGAGGCCCATTCTGAAAACAGCATCCCCATACATGCTTAGAGCTGCTGCATGCTTAGAAGAAGAAGGCGCGCGGCGCTAAGGCAACCGCCCAAATCCCACCAGCCCTCTGGGCGTAGGTGGTCCAGGGAGGCTCCTCTTCTAACCCCATGATTCCCCTTCGGGGAGGGGTTTACACCTCCCCCGACCCCCTCCCCTGGACCTGAACGGGGCGCCCCGCGAACGGTCAGAGCATCTAAGATGGCCCAAGACGGCTCCAAGAGGGCCTCAGAGAGCCCAAGATGACTTCCAAGACGGCCCAAGATAGCCCAAGATGGCCAAATATGGCTCCGAAGATGTTCCAAGAAGCCCCAAGACCGCTCCAAGACGGCTCCAACTGGCCATGGAGCCTCCCCCAGAGGCCGCCGAGAGGCCACAATCGTTCAACAACCTAAAGAAAAGCAATGAATTTCGCTCTCTTGCCGTTTTGCATTCGATGGTCTTCCGAGACCTCAAGATGGCTCCAAGATGGCTTCAAGATGGCCCAAGAGGGCCCCAAGAGAGGCCCAAGAGTGTCCCAAGATAGCCCCAAGTCCGAGAGGCGATTTGTGGGGTTCCCGAGGGGGGCGTAATTGAAGCTCCCCCCTTCTTTGATCGATGTCCTCCAAGATGGCCCCACGAGCGCTCCCAAGGCTTCCACGGGCGCTTCAATAGGGCCCCAACAGGCGCCCAGGAGGCCTCCAAAAGGCGCCCAAGAAGCTCCCAAGAGATCCCCAAGAGGCCCCAAGAGGCTCCGCGAGGCACCCAAGAAGCTCCAAGAGGCCTCCGGGACCGCCAAGAGGCCCCCAATACGCCCCCGAACTCGCCATTGCCCTCCTCCTCCACCTCCTCCTGCTCCTTCTTCTCCTCCTCCTTCTCCTCCTCCTCCTCCTCCTCCTCCTCCTCCTCTTCGTCCGCCTATTTCTCCCCATCCCTCCTCCCTCCACCCCCTCCCCCAATTCCTTCTTCTCCTCCTCCTCGTTCTTCTCCACTTGATCCTCCTCCTCATCATCCTTCTCTTCCTCCTCCTCCTCCTCCTCCTCCTCGTCCTCCTCCTCCTCCTTCTCCTCTTCCTCCTCTCCCTCATCCCCCTCGTCCTTCTTCCTCGCCGTTCCTCCTTCGGCATGTCCGCGAAGGCACATACGGTTCGCTCCTAGGTCTGCGCAGGCTGATCCAAGACTTACGATTGACGGCTTCCCCAGCTCTTAATCCACTAGATGCTCCTCCGCTTCCCTGATCAAGGCAACTCGCCTGGGCATCGTTTGTGGTTGGACTGATAGGGGATACGTGAAGCGTCAAGAATTTGAAAACCACAACCCCTCCATCATCGAAACTAATGCAAACTTTTGCAACGAATGTGTGCGGTGCGTATGCGCGAATCCCAGATTGATCCCCCTCTCCATCCTTGTAACTGCTGCATGCTTCAAGCTTCAGGATCAGAAGTTGTGAAGATGTCTCAGGCGAAACGCCAGCCCCGCCCTACCACACCCCTGGGGGTGCGATTGGGAAGGGGGTATTACTAAGGAAAACGGATGGAGGAATGAGGGATGAGGGACGAGGGACGAGTGGGGGAGAATGGGGGGGAAACAAACCTACCTCGCTTTTGACCACCCTCGCTTCCAAGAGATACCAAACGATGCCAAACCACGGCCTGTACTGGTCAGGCCGCTCGACGAGGAGGCGCGTGGTATGACTTGGTTTTGCCTGGAAGCGAAAGCGGGGTAGGTAATTCACGCTCCGAGAGAAGGGAGGAGGCAGGAGGAGCGAGGAGAAGGGAGTAGAAAAACGGAGGAGGAGGAGGGAGAAAGACGATCGGGATCGGGATCGTGTCCGGTTGAGTTCGCCTGCTGTGGACAGATGATATCGACCGATCGGCTACTGCCCACCAGGATGACGGGAGGAGAGGAGGAAGAGGAGGAGGAGGAGGAGGTTCAAGCCATTCTCGGGGTCGTCCGCGCCGTCCTCGTCCTCGTTTGCGCCCCCACCCCGCCCCAGCCGTGGGATGGCTCGTGCTGGCAGGTGGTGCTAGCGTGCGGCGCTGCTGCTGAGGGAGTTCGCCTAGGGTACAGGCAACAGCGGCTCGACCAGGCACCAGAGGAACCTCCTGATGCAGCACGGCGTCGTGGGGCAGGAGGGCAACGGTCTCTGTGGGAGCAGGCGGTGCTCTTGGCGGGGGGGGTCTTGGTGCATCGCGGGCGGCGGAGGCGCAGGCGGCGTCGGCGCTGGGCTGCCTCCGGAGTTGCCGGGCGTGTTGCACTGGGAGCTCGTGCTGGCAGGGGCCCTTCCACGACTGGACCTGGACGTGCACGCCAAGAGCTCGGGCGGAGGGTGGTCGAGCAGTGGAAGCCGGACTCCGACAGCGGGGGGCCCAGGCCGCGCTTCACCGCCTGGGCTCCAGGCTGAGACCTGGAGCGCAGCGTGGCCAGACTGATCAACCGCCACTTTGCGACGAGGCGTCTTCGCCTGCTCCCTCGCTTCCCCGCTCCCCAGCCGCCACTTGGCGAGCCCCTGCCCGCACTGGCGGGTGCCGCACGTGCGTGACTTCCCTTTTCTCCCCATCCCTCCACCCTCTTCTCGTCTTCCTCTCCCTGCCAGCACTGTCCGGCGCCGCACTTGCGATGGCTCCTCCTCCTCCTCCGCCTCCGCCACCTCCTCCTCTCTTTCCTCCCGGTCCATAGCCGGTTGGGCCCGAGGTCCTCCCCCTCTTCCTACCTGCCGTTGGTCCGACGGACTCCGTCCTTGCCTTGGGGTGCGAAGATTTGTCGTGCGTTGTGCCTCGCGGTCTGAGCGGCTGCGTTGCCCCCCCCCTCTCGGCATTCCTCGTTTGTGCCGCGCTTGGGCGTGAAGGTTCTCGCGCCGCGTGCCTCTACATATGCGAGGCGTGTTGTTGGCCTCTGAGGTTTCTTTGGGCCTCCAGACCTCGGCGCCAGTACCCAGAGAGAATTGTATTCCCTTCCGCAGTGCCACATGCAAATGCAAGATTAGGTACCAACATCATCGAACGCGGCCGCTTCGGCCGTAAACGGGGAAACCCGAGCGCTGACACTTCAGGTCCAGCCTTGAGCCAGAACGAGAGTACCGAGCAGTTCTGTCTGACACATTTCGGCTTGGCTGCTATGCTACATCCATGTCGAACTGCAACCCAGAAAATGAAAGGTGACAGGGGGAATGTCTGTCCCCAGGCCCCTGGTGCGCCCGTGGCGGAGGGACCATTTTGCCATACTTGTGCTACTAAGGACTTTACGAACGTATGGCAGGAACCCGAGGCACCTCCCCTGAATTCTACTCTACAACTGAAGGGGGTACTCCCTTTTGCCGTTCCCACATCTACTGTGTTTCGGCACGTTCCGTTGCACCCCACGTCGGTGCAGCGCGCCATGGTCCAACTGAGGATTCCGGGGTGTGCGCCTACCTGAATATGTTACGTTGCCTGCTTCCGCGGGCAGGGGCATATACGCGGTTGGTGGTATTTCATATGCCAGTGTGGCGGTCGTGTGGTCATGGAGCTGCAGGGGTACTTCTACATCGCATCACAATGCGTGTCAGTTCTGCGCGCCGCATGTGGCTGCAGTGCGTGTGTGTGTGTGGTTTCTGTGTGTTGTGGGTGGGCACTCTCTCGTCGCTGCGCGCGAGCCCGCAGCCGCCAAAAAGTGTGTGTGTGTGTGTGGTGTGTGGTGTGTGGAGTGTCGTACGTGGTGTGTGGCGCGTGGTGTGCGGTGGGTGGTGTTTGGTGTGGGGTATGTTGTGTGTTGTGCGTGGTGTGTGGTGAGTTGTGTGTCGTGGGTAGTGTGCTGTGAACTGTGTGGCGTGTGGTGTGTGGTGTGCGGTGTGTGTTGTGTGGTGTGTGTGTGTTGAGAGCTGTGTGTGTGGGTTGTGTTGTGTGTTGTTTGTTGTGTGTTGTGTGCGTTGTGTGTGTTGTGCGTTGCTGCGTCTGTGTTCTTGTGTGTTTGTGTGGTTGTGTCTGTTGTGTGTATGTTGCCTTGTTGTGTGTGCTTATGCGTGTTAGTATGTTTGTGTGTCTGTGTGTAAGTGTGCGTTTGTGTGTGTGGGTTTGTGTGGTTGAGTGTGTGTGTGTGTGTGTGTGCGTGTGTTTGTGTGTTGTGTGCTTGTGTGGTTGCGTGTCTATGTGTTCGTGTGTTCGTGTGTGTTTGTGTGTCTGGGTGTGTCTGTGTGTTTGTGTGCTTGTGTGTTTGCGTGTTTGTGTGCTTGTGTGTTTGTTTGTTTGTTTGTTTGTTTGTTTGTTTGTTTGTTTGTTTGTTTGTTTGTTTGTGTGTTTGTGTGTAGTGGGTGCGTGTGGGTGCGCGTGCGCATGCGTGCACGGATGCCTAGGCATGTGAGACGGGCAGTGTGTGAGTGGAGGCTAAGGGGGGCAACGCGAATGACGAGAACACGGCTGGCACGAGTTCCTTGGGGCCCCGCACAGTGTCGCCACCTTGCGCGACGGGCCCCCCAAGCACAGGGCACGCGCCAAGGCACTTGCTCCTTGCTGGACCCCCCTACTTGGGGCCCCCACTTCGGGTGATCACAGCCGCCCGCCTCAGGGCGAGGAGGAGGAGAAGGAGGAGGAGGAGAAGAAGAAGGAGCAGGAGGAGGTGGAGGAGGAGGAGGAGGCGGAGGCCATCATCCTCCTAATCCCTCGTCCTCCCCGCCCCCCTTCCCCCCCCTCCCCTCCTTTCCCCACCCCCGCAGCGCCCCGGCCTCCAGCTCGGCCAGCTTCTTCTCCGCCACCTCTGCGGCTGGGGCCGAGGGCCGGGGTGGGGGGGGCGGGGCGGCCAGGGACCCAGGGCCACAGGAGGACACCGAGCTGAACTTGGACGAGCTGCGAGGGAGCACCGCAGCGAGCTCGCGAGGCGGTAAGGACTCAGTATCCAGAGCGCTCCAGGAGCCCACGGCTAGGCACAGGGGCCAGCCACGGCAGCGACCGCCCGCACGGCACTGGCAGCGTGCACAGATTCTCAGCACTCCTTGGGGCGAGGGAACAGCCCCCAGCGAGAGGGGAGGAGTGAGAGAATGAAGGGGAAGAGGAGCCCTTGCGCATTAAGGAAGAAAGAGGAGGAGGAAGAGGCTGAGGAGGAGCCGCAACCTTGGGTGGGGGGGTGAGATCCCTCTCTGCTCGATGGATGCCACCACCGTGGCCGGCAGGGCCCTACTGGACGCTCTGGCGTACATCGAAAGAAAAGGTGAGAGCAAGAGAAAGAGAGAGAGAGAGAGATGTGGCAAAGTCTATACGGTTCCCATCGCACTTCGGCAACACATCCCAGAAACAATTCCGAGCATCCAGAACAAGTTCAGGGAGGGACTTGGTGAACGTACCCACTGCCCGGGCTGATTGTAGATCTTCGCCACGGGGGGACTGCTACTGAAAAGGAAAAGGCAACATAAGGATGATAGATCGCGCTGCAATATCATGACGTGTACCCCGCGGTGGTGACACCACGCTGCGAAATCACTCTGTGCAGCTCGCGGCCCGCAAGCGACTGCCAGACGTGGCCAGCGCTTACGGGATGCGACCTGCAAAAATCGATGCCACAGCGTGGTGTCACCGCCGCTGGCTACACAGCGTAATGTCACAGCGTGGTGTCACCGTATCACAGTATGCTGTGAACGCAGTGGGCTACGCAGCGTGATGTCACAGCGTGGTCTCGCCGCCGCGGGCTGCAGAACATGGCCGCCACTTGAGGGCTGCGGACTACAGAGCGTGATGTCACGGCGTGATGTCGCCGCAAAGGGGGTATGCAGCGTGATGTCACACCGTAGTGTCGTCGCCGCGAGCTGCACAGCGTAATGTCACAACGTGGTCTCGCCGCCGCGGGCTGCAAGACGTTGCCGAAACGTGCGGGCTGCGGGCTACACAACGTGATGCCATAGCGTGGTGTCACTGCCGCGGACCACTCAGCGTGATGTCACACCGTGGTGTCGCTACCGCGAGGTGCACAGCGTGATGTCACAGCGTGGAGTCGCCGCCGCGAGCTGCAAGACGGGGCCGCCGATTGCAAGCTGCGGGTTGTGCAACGCGAGGTCACACCGTGATGTCGCCGAAATGGGCTGCTTCGCGTGATTCCACAGCTTGAATGCCGCAGCCACTGGCTGCAAGACGTGGACGCGTGCGGGCTGCGGGCTACACAGCGTGATGTCAAGGCGAATTGAGGTCGCGGTGAGCCACGCAGCGTAATGCCACAGCGTCCTAAGCCCGTCTCGGGTTACAGCGTGATGTCTCAGCGTGGTGTCCCCATAGAGGGCTACACAGCGTGATGCCACACCGTTGGGTCTGCGCCGCGGGCTACACAGCGTGGTGTCACAGCGTTGTGACGCCGCCGCGGATCCCACAGCTTGATGTCACAGCGTGGTGCCGGAGGCTACACAGTGTGATGTCACGGTGTGGTCTCGCGAGGGCAAAATACACAGAATGATGCCACAGCGCGGTCTTGACGCCGCGGGCTACACAACGTGATGTCACAGCGCGGTGTCGCCGTCGCGGCACAGGATACGTGGCGGCCGCTTGCAGGCTGCGGGCTACACAGCGTGATGTCGCATCGTGGTGTCGCCGCGGCGGGCTACACAACGCAAAGTCGCTGCACAGCGTGTTGTCGCAGACGAGAGCTACACAGAGTGATGTCACAGAGAGGCGTCCCTACACAGCGTGAAGTTTCGGCCTGGCGTCGTTGACACCATTGTGTGGCACCGCGCTATTCCTGACACCACGGTCACACCACGCTGCGATAGATACCACTGTGACACCTCAATTGGACACGCTATGACCGACCCTACTGTGACACGACGCTGTAACATCACGTCGTGCAGTTCGCATCCGACGCTTGCGGCCATCCAGAGAACACCACGCTTTGACATCGCGCTGTCGGATCCTACCCTCAATCCTTCCCTCATCCCTTCTGCCAATGAGGAGTATTCAATCCCACAGGCAAGTGCGTGTCAAATCCACGGTTTGGTTCTAGCTTCGCCCAGGTTTCTTCGGGGATCATTGCGATGCCCTGTTTGCCATGCTACCTTCGGGAATCCATGGGGATGTATAGAATGGCCATGCCCCGAAATCGTCAATATTATATCGTCAATGGAGCTGGGGCAGGCATGATTTATTTCAAAGTTAGCGCTTTGGAAGGGCCCGGTGAAATTGGGTCCGCGGTGCGGATTGTACACTAATTTCGGGAGAATCGACTCCAACATGGTCCAGGGAGGCCACCAAGGCCGCCGAGACGGCAGTTCACTGCCTCAAGAACCACCCAACAATCCCCGAGAACACCCCAAGAGGCGCCAACGAGACAAGACGAGGCTTCCACTAAACTAAAGAGAATGCCAACAGGCGTTCCACGAAAGCCAACATTAGTCAAAACATGAAGGAACCCTTCAAGCTGTTGTGCATGTTGCGCTTCCCGGCCCCCTCGGCTCAAGATGATACCAAAAGGGCATCCGAAGAAACAAACGGATGCAAAGAGAGCGCAGATTGGGCCATACGAAAACCTGACAGGCTGCCCAGAACTGCACAGAAGAGACCAAATATGGCCCAAGAAGGCCCCAAGAGGCTCTGAAGGCAGCCCCAACAGACAGCCGAGATGGGCCGAACGCGGCTGAAACAGGGTCCAAAGAGGGCCCCAGGACGTCTCCACAGGAACCAAAGATAGCTCCAAGACGGCCCAGCAATGAGATCCCACCAGATGAATAAAAACGAGGGGTGCCACCTGCTATAACCGTCTGACTGCGCTGGAACGGTGGCGGAACTTGCCGCAGGCAGCTGGATATAGAACACCACTAACAATCTCGGCCCTTGAACTTGGAACCTCGATCCTCCCTGGAGGGGGCGCCGATTAGACATCCTCGATCCTTGAGCGTAGCGTCGATCCTGGAGAGCCTCGAACCTCGAACCCCTTCGCGCCATGCTCTGCGATCCCCGAACCTCAATCCACGTCGACCCTCGAACCTCGATCCTCGAGCCTCGCGGCGGGGCGGCCTCGAGAGTCTTGCACTGGAAACCCGATCCCCGAGAGCATCGAGCCTCTCGAAAACATCGATCCTGGACAGGCTGGCTCCTCGAACCTCGCGGGGGGGGCGCTGCCTCGAGAGCCTCGCACTCGACGCCGCCGCCGCGGGCCGCCCCGATGGCGATCTTGAGGGCCCCGCTCTCGGCCTCGCAGCGCCCCGCGGACGACGACGGCGGTCCGCGCGCGCGGGGATCTGCGCCTCCCGCGGTGCTCCGCGCGTCCTGCGCGCGCGCGCTGCGCTGCGGGCTGCCCTCTTGGCGACGAGAGGGCGGGGCGTCCTGGCGGCCGCAAGGGTCGCACCTGCAGTTCGCAACCGGGCAAAGCCTCTTGGGGCACGTGCCCGCGCAGCCGCTCCCGCAGCCGCAACCGCAACACAACTCTTGGCCTTAGACATCCGCAACCGCACACACACACACACACGTACATCCGCAACCGATCCCGCAAATGCACCAGCAATCGCAGCCAGGTGGCACATGCTGGGCTGCATGTGTCCGCAAGTGCCCGAACAACTGGTCTCGCACTCTCAGCCAAACAAGATATCTTGGGCAACATGCCCGCAATCGCACCCGCAACCGCAACCAACCAACAAATTTGGGCCGCGGGCACCCGCAACCACTCCCGAACCCGGAACAAGGCAACACATGTTGAGCCGGATGCTCCCGAGACCACACCCGCAACCGCAATCGAGCAACACATTTTGGGCCAGGGTCAACCACAATAGCACCCGCAACCGCGCCCACAACCAGGCAAAAGATTTCGGACCGCGTGCTTGCAGTTTAACGGGAATTACATGTCACACCAGATGCACATCTTCAGACGATGGATGCTTCGCAATGTGATCAGGAAGTCTTCACCTCCTAGCAGTCATGTCCTGAAATTCCTGGGCACTCCGTTCAATGGAAAACATGTTATCAAACAAACTCTCCGGACAACCCCCCGGATAACCATTCCAAGATGCATACCACAAGCGTCCCAGCATGTGATTGTGGCTGGCGCTCGAGCGGCAGCACACTACCCACTTGGAGATGTAGCTGGCGCTGAGGCGAGAGCACAGCGCCTAATGATGACGGATGCGGCCAGCGCGCAGGCGACAGCACCAATATCCCAGCCGGGGATGTGGCCAGAGCTCGGGGCGAGAGCACCGTTCCCAATCACGGATGTGGCTGGCACTCGAGCGGCAACCCAATGAGGATGTGGCCCGCGTTGAGGCGAGAGTACCGTTCCCATTCAGGGAGTGGCCAGCGCGCAGTGTTGCGAGGATGTCTCAGGCGGCACGGGCCAGACCAGCTCTCGCGGGGCATCTCCGAACCCAGAGCTGTGAGGATGTCTCGGGCGAAACTGCCTGGAACACCTCTGGTCAGGGCACCTCTGAGCCCAGGCGTGCGATGATGTCTAAGGCGAAACTTGCCGGACCACTTCGCGCTGGCATCCTTGCATGCGAAGCTGGCCGGACCGCCTCAGGTCAGAGTGGATCGGAGCCCAGGAAGTTGCGAGGATGTCTCAAGCAAAACTACCTGGAAAACCTCGTGCGCGGTATCTCGGAGTCCGACGTTGCGAGGGATTATCTCAGGCGAAACTAACTGGACAACCTCGTACGCGGCATCTCGGAGCCTAGAGTCGCGACGTCGTCGGAAGCGAAGCTGGCCAGACCACCTTTGGCGCGGCATCTCTGAGCCCAGAGTTGCGAGGATGTCTCAGGCAAGATGGGCTGGATAACATTGTGCGCGGCATGTCGCAGACGAACCTGGCTGGACCACCGCAGGTTAAAGCAGAGGAGCCCAAAGTTGCGAGGATACCTCAGGCGAACTGGCTGCAGAGGTGCGAGGACGTCTCACGCGAAACTGGCCATACCAGCTATCGCGCGGCACCTGACGATATGTCAATAAGAACGGTCCGCACCACCTCGGGTCAGGGGATATGGGAGCCTAGAGTCGCGAGGACGTCTCAAGCGACACTGGCTTGAAAACGTCGCGCGCGGCACCTCTGAGCCGAGTCGCGAGGATGTCTCAGGCGAAATGGGCTGGATAACATCGTGCGCGGCATGTCGCAGACGTGGCTGGACCACCGCAGGTTAAAGCAGAGGAGCACAGAGTTGCGAGGATACCTCAGGCGGAACTGGCTGGAGCACCTCGCATGCGCCCTCTCCTACCCCAGAGCTGCGAGGACGTCTCACGCGAAACTGGCCACACCAACTCTCGCGCGGCATTTCACGATATTTCAAAAGAAACGGTCCGCACCACCTCGGGTCAGGGGATATGGGAGCCTAGAGTCGCGAGGACGTCTCAAGCGACACTGGCTTGAACACGTCGCACGCGGCACCTCTGAGCCCAGAGTCGCGAGGATGTCTCAGGCGAAGTGGGCTGGATAACATCGTGCGCGGCATGTCGCAGACGAACCTGGCTGGACCACCGCAGGTTAAAGCAGAGGAGCACAGAGTTGCGAGGATACCTCAGGCGGAACTGGCTGGAGTACCTCGCATGCGCCCTCTCCTACCCCAGAGCTGCGAGGACGTCTCACGCGAAACTGGCCACACCAACTCTCGCGCGGCACCTGACAATATTTCAATAAGAACGGTCCGCACCACCTCGGGTCAGGGGATATGGGAGCCTAGAGTCGCGAGGACGTCTCAAGCGACACTGGCTTGAAAACGTCGCACGCGGCACCTCTGAGCCCAGAGTCGCGAGGATGTCTCAGGCGAAATGGGCTGGATAACATCGTGCGCGGCATGTCGCAGACGAACCTGGCTGGACCACCGCAGGTTAAAGCAGAGGAGCACAGAGTCGCGAGGATACCTCAGGCGGAACTGGCTGGAGCACCTCGCATGCGCCCTCTCCTACCCCAGAGCTGCGAGGACGTCTCACGCGAAACTGGCCACAACAACTCTCGCGCGGCATTTCACGATATTTGAAAAGAAACGGTCCGCACCACCTCGGGTCAGGGGATATTGGGGCCCAGAGTTGCGAGGACATCTCAAGCGACACTGGCTTGAACACGTTGCACGCGGCATCTCCGAACCCATAGTTGCGAGGATGTCTCATGCGATGCTGGCCGGGCCACTTCAGGTCATACGCGTTTTATAAACACATTTTTACAGTAGCATCGTCAATGTATCTAGCCGCCTTCATTGCATCCATTCGTTGCATGTCATTACCGTTGTTTGGCTGCAGTTTCGGCTCGAGGGGTTTGAGAGGCGGGCAGCCCCGCCTTTTCTCGAGCCTTCGAGCACACCAGCCTTTCAGGTGTTCGAGGCGCCCGCGCGCTCGCGGGCGATCGGGGCCCCGCTGGGCCCTGCTGCGCGGCCGCTGGCCCGTGCCCGCCGCGGCCTGCGGCGCCGCGGGCGTGGGCCACCCAGGGCGGCGAGGGCCGCCCCCTGCCACAGGCGCGCCGCGCCGCGTGGCCTCGCGTCGCCACGGCGCGTGCTGGGCCTGTCGGGTGGGCCCTGGCGCTGGCGATCGTGGCCAGCGAGTGGGAGGCGCTGTTGCCGGGCCTGTGGGAGGCCAGCGCGGAGGAGGGCGAGAGCGACAGCGAGCCGCTCTTCTCGGCGCCCGCTGGGCAGGACGGCGCGGAGGAGCTGTTCAAGGGGACTCGGCCCAGCTACATGGCGCCGTGGGCGCGCTGGAACCGGCTGTACCTGCTGTCGCAGACGAAGCCGACCGGCGTGGTGCTCCTCCTGATCACCAAGGTCGGGGGGGCGAAGTCCACCGTGTGGACTGCGGTGGACCCGACGCAGCGGGTGGTGCTGAACGTCCGCGACAAGAAGTTCGCGCTCAGCAAGCCAAAGCAAGGGATCGTGTGGACGGAGCACCCGGGCCTCACCGAGAAGCAGCGGGATGCTGCGCTGATCGCATCCGAGCGTCTGATAGCTCGCTCGGAGTTGAAGGAGGCCGAGGCGCGGACGGAGAAGGTGAAGCACGCCCAGAAGAAGAAGAAGTCGAGCTCCAAGACGGCGATGGCGAGCTGGATGTTCAAGGGGGTGAGCACGGCCGCTGTGGCGGGCTGGAGCTACCGCACCGCCGGTGCCTGGGGCTCGGCGGCGTTCCTTGGGTGGCGTGTGTGGCGCTACCTGGAGCTGGGCTCTTGGCTGAGCAGCGGATACCACACCGTGAAGGCGGGCTTCCAGGCGTTCGAGGACCTGTAGTCCGTGATGGAGCTGGCCAACGACATGTACGAGAACGGGGACCTGGAGAAGATCGCCTGCACCGTCGGTGGGATCGCGGTGGCGGGCTACATGATCTGGATGTACCACACCCACGGTGGCGAGGGTCGAGGGGACAGTTCTGACAGTGAGAGCGACAGTGACGACGGGACGGCCATCATCGGGGGACGAGATATGAGCGACAGTGACGACGAACCCGATGCGAAGGCTTTGTTCTCGGAGCTGGCGAGGGGTCAAGCGGAGTTGGCTTCAGCGGTGGTCGACCTGAAGGACCGGATGCGCGAGGAGGCCGAGGCAAGGCTGCCAGTGCCGCCCCCTGCCCAGGCGCCCGCTCGTCAGACCTCGCGTCGGGAGGAGTCCCCAGAGGGGGCTCGGACGCCTGGCGGGTCGGAGCCGAGTGGGGGCGACATCGATGCGTTCATTCGGAAGCTGAACGAGCACGAGGGGGTCGTGGCGAGGAACTCGGCGAGGGCGACGGCGGGCTCGGCGACGCCCGTGAGCAGCAGCGGGAACAGCGGCTCGTGGGAGAAGATTGGCGCCGAGCTCGACGATCCCATGAAGGACCAGATCGTGCAGCTGAAGTTGGAGTCGGCCAACCCGAAGGACAGCCTCCTGACGGTGCTGCAGCAGTACCGGCCCGCGGTGGGCGGTCAGGTCTGCGGGGTCCGGACTCGGGTCGCGCCGACGGTGCTGGCGAAGCTCTACCGTGGAGGGAGGACGGCGCGCGTCGAGACGCAGGAGTGGCTTCGCAGCAAGGAGCTGCAGGGCGCGTCGGTGGCGAACGAGGTGAACATGTTGGCCATGGTGCTGGACCGCATGATGACCTCGGGGGAGCACGACGCGCTTTTCAACAGCCAGGCGTCCGAGCTGACCTGTTTGCGGCTCTACTCGATCTGGAAGGCCTACGAGCGGGTGCAGTGCAGGGCCGACTGGCAGAGGCCCAAGCAGCAGAACGGCGGCAAGTGGAAGTCCAAGGTCGACTGGAGTTTG